TTCCCCGTGTTCATCAGGGCATTCAGAGCCCTGTCCCCACCATGACCCTCAGGAGGAGCTGCTGTCCAGTGCAAATTAAGAAGGTGGCCCTAGGAGTTATTTACCGAATTATCACTTTCACCAAAGCCTTTGCAACTCTCAGCTCCCCACGCCCACCCCAGGATGGCTTTATCCGAATTCTCCACTGAGTAGAGAGAAGTTGGCTCTCAGCTGGATGTTTCATTTAGCCTTTTTCTTTTCTTTCTTTAACTTTTGTTTGTTTTGGGTGGTGCTGGGGAGTGAACCTAGGGCCCCATGCACAGTAGCCAAATGCTCTACCACTGAGCTCTATAACCCCAGCTTCACTTTGCCTTTCAATATCTACCATCATACACTCATTGATCCCCTGTACTAAGCATGTTATTTAAAGGATCTCATTTAATCCTCACACCAACTGATGAAAGTTAGGGATTGTGATTTGCTTCCCACATATGGAGAAATGGAGACCTAAGGATGATTTGCCTGAGGTCGTGAGGTTAAAGGGTCGAGCTTGGGTCTGCATCAGGTCATCTGCCAGGGATGGGGGTGCCTGTGCTGGTGGTAATTACTGCCTTCCCTGGAGAATCTGGGGTTAAGGATGGCACCTCAGAGCAGCTGGATGTTGAGAAGATCCATTTCTCCATCACAACAGAGAGAAACGCTGCACTTAGAATAGTTATGTGACTGGCGAGTGGCAGAGCCAGGATTGAGATCAGGCCACGCTGCTGTACATCCAGCTGTCCTCACCACTGTGCAAGAGCCCAGTTCTTCCTCTTTGTGGCCAGCACAGTGAGCCAACTTCTGTTTCACTGTCTGACAGAAAGAGATCCCAAACAGACCTCTCACCAAGCCAGCTTCATTGAGAAGCCTGGTGATTTCACTGGGAGAAGAAGCTAAGCGAGGCCTGGGTTCCAGGCCCAAGATCAGGGGGCTTCCTTCTCTAATGAGGCTCTGAGGTAGCTCAGCTCACTGCTTTCATCTCACATGGGAAGAAAATAACAATTTTGTGCCAACTCAGAATTTTTGCTTTTTAGATCTGAATGGTCTAGGCTGGTTAACTCTGCAGAGAAGATGCCTCATGTTCAGTGCTCCTACCTGACACCGCCCTAACCCTAAGCTTTACTCTAACTAACCATAACCCTAACTCTAACCCTCCCTAACCATAACCATAACCCTGACCCTGACCCTGCCCCACGGCACAGCACATCCGCTCTGAGGGTGCTGGCTGACATGATGCCCAAGCACTCACCTCAGCTGGGAACCGGTTTGAAGGGTGATTTGAATTTTTCCTAGTTCCACAAGTTATCATAAACCTGGTTTTAGGGTTACGAATATATTTTACTGAATAGATGAATTGCAAATATGGGACCTACAGATAATTCAGATTGACTGTGTATGAAGCACAGCACCAAGATCCCCAGTGCTGCAAAAACCATAGCTCAGGGATAAAGGTGGAGGAGTTCTGGAGTCGTCTTTGGGTTGAAGTTAGAGGAACTTATTTGATGTGACACAACTAAAGGAAGAATGCCGTAATACAAGAACAGGAAGGATCACTGTGTGGAGGAAAGCGGCTGACTGTATTTCACCGTCACCTGGGTCAGAGCCAGAGGTAATGTGCTACAGTTGCAGCCAGAAGAGTTCTAGCTAGAAATAAAGATGAACTTTTAAGACTGTAAAAGTTGGGAGTTTTAGGATATTCAAAGAAGAGGCACATCTTTTTCCCTTCAAAGCTCTCACTGCCATGGGGAAAGAAAGCCACTACCTGGAATGGCTGAGAGCAGGACTTCCTAAACAGTTTGTTCTGTCATCTGTAAGGGGTGTTTGTTTGTTTACTGGGGCTTGAACCCAGGCCAGAACATGGCAGTCAGCGCTCTGCCACTGAACTACACCCTCAACCCTCTCGGGGATGTTTCACAGCAGTTTCTATAGCAGATTCTCATTTTCGTGGGGTGTACAATACCCTGATGGACCTTCCAATGATTATTTAAATTTGAAGGTTGGGACAGGGCGTGGTGGCATACAGCTACGATCCCAGCACTTGGGAAGCTGAGGCAGGAAGGTTGCTGCATGTCTAAGGAGAGCCTGGGCTACATAATGAGTTCAAGGCCAGACTAGAGTACATAGCAAGATCCTAACTCAACACTCCCCATCCCCGCCGAATTTGAAGATTGGATGAAACAGTAAAGCTGCATCAGCTTTTCTTAGAATGCTCCCCATGTGTTAGAGAGCTCCAGGCTTCTCTGGGGATGGACCGACTGGGTTTTGCACCTCCACCTTGTAGCGCCTGCACGGGTCCTGCACCGAGAAACTTCGTACTTCCCAGCAGTTCCATCTTTCTGGCTTCTCTCGTTCCACACAGGTGCTTCCCATGCCGAGTTCTGGGGCTGGTGCTCAGTCCTGCCTCCCTGAATCCAGATGCAGCACAAATCTCTGCTCTTTACCAAAAAGTTGCTTTCCTCAGGTGTCCTGAGGGAGGCCTGAGTTGTGGCTGAGGAGTTTGGTCTCACTATGAAGGCTGCGGGGTGTCAGTGAGGTGTGTCTGTAGGGAGGGGATGTGCCCTAGCACTCTGGCAGCAGGGCAGACACTGGGCTGAGAATAAAGTTCCTTGCAGCATCTTTTCTGTGTTCTTTGAAAAAATATTTGGTTTTGGAGACAGAGTCTCACCATATTACCTAGGCTGACCTTGAATTCTGGATCCTCCTGATGGCAATGGAGAACCACTCCACTCAACAGTCTGCAGTGTTCTTTTCTAAACTGGAGGCCCTGAGCATCATCACGGGCAGCAAAGGTGCCCCATGGCACACAGGGCTGCTGGGGACCCTGGACTAGGTAGTAAGAGAAGCACGGCTAGTGAATGCCTGGGCTTCAGCCTGAACCACTCCCTCTGGGTTAGGGAAATTGTCCTTGCCATCTGATCCCATGTCAGCGTGGATGCTGATGCCTGACAGTCAACAAGACAGCCACTCTAACTAAATGATTGTTTTCCCATCAGGACTCCCAGCTCCCAGAGACAAAAAATTTTTATCTTCCTGCTATCCTCCCAGTTACTTGATGCTTAATACCTGTGTCTGGTATTAGTGTGTGTGTGTGTTATTTCTTGACCAAGATATTTCTTGAATTAAGAAGAGTCAGCTGGGCACAGTGGCCCACGCCTGTAATCCCTGTTACTCAAGAGGCTGAGGCAGAAGGACCTCAAGTCAGAGCCAGCCTGAATAACTAAGCAAGACCCTGTCTTAAAATTAAAAGGACCCCAGGACTGCAGGAAATAAAGACTGGCCCTTAAGAGGTGGGATAGCAGCCACGGCCTGGTAGGAAGGCAGAGGCAGTGCTGGGCCCTCCAACTGGAGCTAAGGGACTCTGAGCAGTGGTGAGAAGGTAGGACAGAGGCTGCAGCTTGCCCTGATCTCCAGAGAGCATGGGGAGCCCCGTTCCCGGTGATGTCCTCGTGTCCCCAGGATGAGAGCCTGGCGCAAGAACGGAAATCCTGAGCGCCCGAAGCCAACCGTCCCTGGCCATGTCCGGACACCGCCATCCCGCCGCATGCTCCCAGGGGCGCCTACCCCGGCAGGTGGCTGGGGGAGCCGGAGGCCGCCTGTGCCCCCTTTCGGCCGCTCGGTCCGCGGCCCCTCCCAGGACGCCCAGCAGGCTGGGGCCGCCCCCGTCCAGCCTAAGCACAGACCCTGGCCGTCCAGACCCCTGGAGGTCCCGCCGCGGAGCTGGGAGCATTGGCTGGCTGCGTTGCCCTGGGGTTCCTGCCTCCCCCTGGAGGGGCCTGCACCCTCTTGGACTCCAAGCCCAGCCTCCCCTCCTCACCAGGTCACCTACACTCCAGAGCGCAGGTCTGCCAGCCCCAGGCCGTCTCTGGTTACCCTGCCTGCACTGCAGAGCCCACGCTAGACTTGATTGCAAAACCCTGGACTTTCCCTGCCAGCCGACCCGTGGGCCTAGCTGTAATTAGATGTTTGATCTTATTTTACATAATGAATTGTAGGCAGTTTTATTTTCTTGGAAAAAAATATAGACCAAAAAATTAAAAAAGAACAAGAGTCATATTAGCGGAATGCTCTCGAAAAGAGCCAGGGAACATAGCTTTCCTGCTGGTAGGTCACTGTAAATGACACCTGCAGCTGAAGAGCTTCCCCAGGGAGCAGAGATGTTACCGGGCTGGTCACGCGCTCCTGGGACAGAGTCCACCCTGCGCCTGCCCTGGCCCCCTCATCTGTGAGGGCAGAGACACAGACCACATCAACTGCTGGGGTTCTTGGCACCCTATCCTCTCAGGCCGAAGAAAGTAGTCTCTGCCTGTGCCTTTCCTTTTTCTAGGGTTCTCTGTGAAGCAGAAGGAATCTTACAAAGATGCAAGCTGTTTAGGGCTGGGGAGGTAGCTCAGTGGCACAGCGCCTGCCTGGCAAGCCGAGGTCCTGGGTTCTATCCGTGGTACAGAAAATTAAAAAAAAAGATGCAAGCTGTTTACACAGAGAAGATACTCTGGTCTGGCTGGAATATGTTCTGGGGAAAAAGAGTATTTATTTTTATAGGAAGAATTAAAATGAGTTACAATCGACTTTCATGAAAAAGTAAAATTTTTTTTGAAAAAGCAAGTTTTAACCTGGCACAATGACCCACCCCTATAATCCTAGCACCAGCACTATGGGAGGCTGAGGCAGGAGGATCCCAAATTCGAGCCCAGCCTGGGCAACTTAGTGAGACCCTGTCTCAAAATAAAAATGGCTGTGGATGTAGCTCAGTGCAAAGGCCCTGGGTTCAATCCTCAGTACCACAAACAGAACAAAACAAAGCAACCTCCCCTCCCCCAGCCCAATCCACCCTGCCTCTCCTTTTAGTTTGGTGGAACACGTAGACCTTGCCCCTCTCCTCCCCTCTTCCCCTGGAGCATGACTCTGTCCTGCTGAGCAGACGGAGGAATGTCTGAGCAAATGCCGCAGCAGCCAGGAAGCCAGGAAGCTAGGAAGCTACTCACCAGAGGGCGCTTCCAGATGAACTGGATGGGGAACTTCTGGCTGTAAAAAAGAGAGGTCTCATCCGGTGGGAACTCAGGGTCCAGATAAAGAACTTTCTTTTCTAGACATTCCTTGTGAAGCTGCTCAAATGTCTTTTCTTTCACTCCAATGATAGGAAAGTTGCGGCTGATGATGGCTGAATAGATGCTGCCTGGGTGTCCACCCCCTGCTTCGGTGGCCTTTCCCTGGGCTGGGTGAGGGACTGGCCCTGGAGACCTGGGCTCAGCCCCTGTCCGAGGGGCCACAGACGCACTAATCACAGTCGGCATGGCAGGCAGCTTTTCAAAGCAAGAGGTTTTAAAGAAAACAAGATACAGCTACCCTCAAGAGAGGGAAGCCAGTGCAGAGGGGAAGTTGGAGTGAGTCTGTCATCTGAGAGAAAAATGTCCACCTCCAATTCCAAACCGAAAGCCTGCCAGCAGGTCCCCTGGCTTCATGGCCAGCTTAAAAACCAAGCTTCAGTCTTGGAGCCGAAAGTTCCCCGGAAGAGAGAACACAACAGGACTTCTGAGCACTCTGTACCTGGGGGCTCCTACCAGCTGCACTCACGCCGGGGAGAGGCAGGAGAGGAGGCTTGTGCTTCATTGGCCCAAGACGCTTGAGCCAGGAAAACTAAAAATAGATGTGAAGAAAGATTGTGAGTGCTGGAGAGAGGCCAGTGCGTGGCAGGACCATGTGGAGGGAGAGGAGGGCCTGGCCAGAGAGATTCCTGCACTGCCAGTGAGTCCCCGTGTGGCCAGGAAGTGAGAGGAGAAGAGCTGAGTAAAGTGGACAGTAGAAGCCACAAAGAGACATTCACTGGGGCACTAAATTAATGAAAACAATATTTTAAAAGCTAACTAGAGCTGGGCACAGATGGTGGTGCGCACCTGTGATCACAGCACTGGGAAGGTTGAGACAGGAAGATCGGTGTGAGTTTGAGGGCAGCCTGGGCTACACAGTGAGACCCTGTCTCAAAAAACAACAAAAAATCCCCAACAGAACAAGGCAAAAACAAACAACAAGAAGCTAGCTATACTGTGAGATGTTGAATTTGAGGGTAATTTTCTGTGTATTTTTTTTTTTTTAGGTAGTAGGGATTGAACCCAGGGAGCCCCCTAGCCCTATTCTGTGCATTTTAAAACATGACCTTTACCATCCGAAGCTCTGAGATGCCAAAACCTTACTGGACTTGGGGTCTCTTCTAGAGTGTCTGTGCTCAGTGGAACTGTGTGGGTGGAAAATGCCACTCAGGAGAGTCCTCAGCTGAGGAGACCCTGTCTTCTCTCTCCCACTTGACCTCATTTATTTAAATGCTGGGACCAGGTCTGCCACAAAAAGTGCATCTGAGTGGATCATATATCTACTGCCAAGCTGTAGGCATCCCCATTAGGCATCCCAGACGGAAGCTGAAACTGGACAGTGACTGTCCTCTCTGACAGGGGTCTCAGAATTCTTAGTGAGGGCGAAGTGTCCGGAAGAGAATGGCCTGCCTGGCCTCTTTCTTGTCTCCTGCCCTGGGTAGCTGCTGTCTGGGTTGGGAGAACATAGCTACATCCTAAGTCTGGCAGAGCACAGGCCTCTCCCAGTCCATAGCCATAGCTCTTGCCACGTGACCATCTCTCTCTGATCCAAGATCCGAGACTGTTGGAAAAGGGGGAAGTGACCGCTGAATAGGGAACACTGAGTAGGCTCATAATCTCTGGGCTGCAGATTTGAAGAATCTAGGCCTGGAATTGTAGGAAGCATCAGCTTATGCTGTTCCTCCATAAAAATGTCAAGGATCTTTACTACTTTTGGAGAGGAAAATAGAAGACAGCATTGTCTAGAGACTCACTGTCCTGGTTCAGAGTCGGGGCCAGCCACTTACTGGCTGTGCCTGGGTAGCTTTAGCTGAGGTGCTTTTCCTTTCTTACTGTGTGTCAGTTTTCTCACCTGTAAAATGAACACAATGATAGTCATCCTGTTACTGAATTGGTAGGAGGATTAAACAAGTTAATTAATTAATGGCATGCATTTAAAATAGTGTCAGGATTGTCTTAAGCACTCAGTAAATGGTGTTTTTAGAGAAGACCAGAAATTAATATTGCTTTGGGGTTAGGTGTGGTTGAATGATACATCTACTCACTGTGTTAGTCAGCTTTCCGTCACTGTGATGAAATACCCGAGATAATTAACTTAAAAGTTTACTTTGGCTCACAGTGTGGAGATTCCAGTGCAGGATTGCCTGGTCCCATCAGGCAGCACTATATATAGCACATATATATATAAAACTGCTCACCTCGCCGGAAAGCAAACGAGGAAGAGGAGGGACCAAGGGACTTGAGGATCAGGGACCTGAGGACCTCCCGCTGGGCCCAGCTGCTGAAGAGCGCCAGCACCTACCAGCAGTGTCACCTCAGGACCAAGCCTCTCACACTCAGGACTTTGGAACACTCTGGATACAATCCACATTTGCTCTTCGAGCACTTCCTGAACATGTCCCTCCCCCAAGGCTTGCTTCCTCACGGACAAGAGCATCTCTGGAAAGATTGCTGCCTACCCTGAATCCTGCCAAAGGCCCAGAGAGCAAAGGTGGGCTTTCCTTCCCCCATCATAACGTTGGTTCCTAGCACAGTGCTCTGTACCACCCTGAAATTCAAGGACTGACTTGTATGTATGTTGGATATATGCATGTACAGAAGAGTGAGCCCGGGACCTTCACACTGAGCTACATCCCCAGCCTCCCCTTTCTTTTTTAAGACAGGGTCTCACTAAGCTGCCCAGGCTGGGCTCAAACTTGTAAATCCTCTTGTGTCAGCCCCAGAGTGCTGGGATTAGAGGCATGCACCAGCACTCCTGGCTGACCCTATTTTATTGTTTCAGCTTATTTAACTTTCAGTTTGTCCAAAAGACTGTAAAGATGGGACTAGGTTCCCCTCCTGCTCACAGGGCTAAGCACACAGAAGGCCCTTAATAAATTTGTGTTATACATCTGTTGAATGAAATTTCCCTATGTGAAAAGAAATTTCTTATACTTTTTTTTTTGGAGAAAAGATCTTGCTATGTGGCCCTGAACTCACTATGTGGCCCAGACTACCCTAGAACTCACAGTGACCCTCCTGCCTCAGCCTCCTGAGTGCTGGGATTACAGGTGTGCTCATCATGCCTGGCTAGGAAATTTCTTATACCTAGAGCTTTGCCAATGCAATCAAATTTCTTGGGCTGATCTGCTTGTCGGGGAGAAGCTATCTCTGGGCCACACACCTGCAGAGTTTCCTTTCCCAGCTGTCTATGGCAGCTCTACCTCTTAGTAACTAAGACCCGTGTGTGCAACACAGGGTCCGGGCAGGGTGGGGATATCTAGCACAGAGGGGTGAGATGTTACAGTCATGCCTTCAAATGCCTTCTCAGTCCTGCAGGTCCAAGTCAAGGTTTGTCTAGCCTCACAGCTGGGGAAACTGATGCTATCATGGAGCAGTCCAACCTGAGCTGCCATCAAAGGGCAGATCATGAGCACAGAAGCTCCCAGAAACCTCTTCAAAGGTAAAGAACTAGTTTTAATAACATATTTCAGCCAACAGTGCTAGCTAATGGCTCCTTATCCCTGATTCTTCTGCCTTCCAAAATATTACTTTGACAAACACTATCAGAAGCAATCTATTTGCTTACTGTCAATACCTATCATTAAGTGCCCACTGAGAGCTAGCTACTCCACACTGAGTGCTCTAAAAAACTTAAAAAGTAATTTTAGACTCCAATAAGAGTCGTACAGATAGAAATCCTTAGTGTCCTCCAGTCTGATGATTCCACAGACTTGGTCTCTTATGATCCTGACACTTCTTTTTTATTTTTCTTTTTATTTATTTTTTTGCTACTGGAAATCAAACTCAGGACCTTGCACTTGCCAGACAGGTGTGGCCCCACTGAGCTACATTCCTGGCCCTGACTCTGACACGTCTGAATAGCACTTCTCAGGTATTTTATAAGATGTCAGGGCCAGGGATGTAGCTCAGTGGCACCATGCCTAACTGGGAAGCACAAGGTCCTGAGTTCAATTCCCAGTACTGCAAACAAAAATAAAAATAAAAATAAAATGTCCCTGGATTTGGGTTTATCTGGTGTTTTTCACATGATTGGATTTGGAGAGGAATGTCACAGATGCAATGTATCCTTCTCAAGTCCTATTTGGGGGTCTATAATTGTTTTATTACAGGCTGTGTGCATTTTGATCATTTGGCCAAGGTAGTGGCCCCTGGGTTTCTCTGTTGTAAAGGTGCTGTTTTCTTTTTTATCCATGTAGAGTATTTTCAGTCTGTAGAACCACACTGTAGGTTTGATTAATTCCTTATTGCAACCAAGGAAATGAGATATCTACTGTATCTTTATAGTTAGATCATGGAAAACTCAGAATGCTAGGGATGATCGATTATCTTTAACAAATGAGGAAACCAAGCCCACAGGAGGTTAAGTGGCTTGGCCAGGATCACTCAGCTAGTTGACTGTAGAACCGAAGTGAAGAAGTGAATGGATGGCTAAGACTCCTCTGTTGAGATGAGTTAGGTGTAAGATCTTTTTTTTTTTTTTTTTGGTACCAGAGTTTGAACTCGGGTCCTTGCACTTACACATCAGGTGGTGAAACCACTGAGCTAAATCCCCAGCCCTGGAAAAGCAATCTTAAAGGAACACATTACTTATTTTGCTTCTACAACTACCTTAATATTCAACCTACTAAGTCATCTAAAACGTTTCCCTATCAGTGACTCTAAGTATCCTAGGACGGGTGGCCGGAGAAGACAGCACTGAGCACTGTGTGCAGTGGTAGGGGAGGTCTCCAGAAAGGGCCTTGGGAAGCTGCTGGTCCACTGCCCTGTCCCATCCTGCGCCAGGCAAACTGGAGCCTGAGGCCGAAGGAAAACGCAGTCCCACTGAACCTGTTGTTATTTAAAATGTTGATACTTTGTCCAGCATGAGTTTTTTTTTTTTTCCAGTACTAGGGATCGAACTCAGGACCTTGTGTTTTCAAGGCAGGCGCAGTGGCACTGAGCTAAATCCCTGGGGCAGCATGAGTATTTTTTTGTGTTAATTTTGATTTTAAAAAAGTAGTGCAGTAAAGTATTATTTTCATTACTGATTGTGCCCGAGGTAAGTGTCTCACCTGCCTTACCCTAGTTCTAGCCCGGGGCTGTTTCTGAAGTTTCAGTGGTGGAGCCACGGATATTTATTTCATTGGTATTAATCACAGTTTGCTCATGTTATAAATACTCTTTGGTTACTAGACAGCATTTAATAAAAAATATGAATTGTAAGAAGGTTAATTTGGAACTTTTGAGTCTGAGAAGCATGAAAAGAAGACCACCCTGTGCTCCCAGTGAGTCAGTCTCTAGCGGAGAATCACTTCCCACTGCAGCAGGGAGCAGTACCCACAGTGGCCTGTCTGCCCCCTCCATGTCAGGCAGCATGTACAGCCTCAGGCAGTCTGCGGGCCGTAGAGTGCTGACTGCAGGGGAGCCTGAAGGGCTGCCTGTGAGGAGAGCTGCTCCTGGGGCTGGAGCTCAGCCTGGGCTGTGGCCCAGGAGGCAATGGAAACTCAAATTCTATCCATGTCTCAGGCTTTGAGGGTCTGAGAGACAGGTGGTGTTTGCACACAGAGCAACACTCATACATCGGAACATCAAGTCTTAAAACGTGCAATGCACTGTTTATTAGTACCCCAGTGACCAGTGAGAGATCACTTTCCACCAAGGAAGCTCATTAGACTGCAGCACAAATCCTGAAAAAAGGCCGAGGGTTGAAAGGTGTAGGTCAGTCCTGTGCGCATGGCCGGCCCCTCTCTCATTGGATACGGACTTCCCAGTCTGTATCAACGTTCAGGGAAAGCTTCTCCAGGCTCAAGGTGGAAGTGCCAGCACAATACACAAAAGCCACTGGCTGAGCTTTCCCATCTGTACAGAAAGACAATGAGAGTCTGAGGAACACCCAGCACAGAAAAATCTTTTATTCAAATTGATATGTTTTCTTTTCTTTCTTTTTGGTACCAGGGATCAAACTCGGGTCCTTGCGCTTGCGCAGCAGGCAGCAAAACCACTGAGCTAAATCCCTGGCCCTCAAATTGATATGTTTTCTGAGGCTACCATAAGACCTTATACCTCACTTAAGAGAATCCATTTTAATAGAATTTTAATTCATGCACTTTTATTCATTTTTTTTTCAGTACCAAGGATCGAAATCAGGATTTTGCACCTGCAAGGCAGGCGCAGTGCCACTGATCTAAATCTCTGGGCCTCACTTTATTCATTTTTAAAATTAACTAATGAATTAGTTTTTTCAGACAGGGTCTCACTCTGTAATTCAGGCTGGCCTTGAACTCACTGTGGAGCCCAGGCTGACCTTGAATTTGTGGTGATCTTTCTACCTCAGCTTCCTGAGAGCTGGGATTACAGGCATGTGCCACACAAATTTTTTAAGATATGTAAAACTTCATTGTTTGAGTACAACACTGGTTGAAAAGAATTGTAAGGAACAAAAAATTCTCTACAAAATTCACTTGGAAAGATATAATTCCTACCCTTTGCATCCTAAACATGGGTAGGACTCTCCAGGCTCTGATATCCATTGTATAAAAACATCCAGGGATACCTATCATATTATTTTAAGCCCTAAGTCATTTTCCTTGGGAGAATATTAACAGTGTACAGGAAGAAGAGGAAGATGGTCTCATTCACGTGGGAGATGAGGACTGTTTCCTTACCAGATGAGTGGGTGGCCACAGAAGATGGCTCCTTCCTGAGGCCTAAGACCAAGATCTGCTCCACCACACACTTGCTGGGAAAATGTCCACTCTTGTCAGCACAACTGGAATGGATACAAGTGGTATTAGGAGAAGGAGAGAGCTGACAGTTGAACTGGTCAACATTTCCACCCTTAAGCTCCCCTCGAATCTGTTCTGATTCACACAGTCATATTAACTAGGATGAAGAAGTGAAAAAAGATGACTTTTGTGTCTTGGTCTAGGTAACGGGTAGCCAGGCCAACTTCCCTTCAATAAGCCATTTGGAGTAAAATCACTAAAGAATACAAAATCACCAATGTGACCAGGATTGTAAACACATGGTAAGAAATCAGACAAATGGTGAATGGAAGATTGAATGGAATTAATGGGCGCTTAAGTTGAGTCTTAGAGGGGGGAAATGAAGATGGAGACACCAAGAAAGAAACACTCATGATAGCGTGACTGAAAAGTACTCCTCAGATGGCCTTCACTTCTTTAAGTAGAAACTGAAAACATCAGCTGTGCACTTATGTCAGGATGCCAAATGACAGTATAATTTAGGAACATACATGGCTTCTTTAGCTGCTGTTACCTGTTGGTCAAAACACTGGAGCAGAATGAAAGCTTCCTGTGCAGGAACTGCCTCTGGTGGAGGTACCTGAAGGAGTGGCCATCATCGAGATACAGCTCTCCCACTGCGGAGCCCTGGGGAGTGATTCACAGAGAAGGTGCCCATGTAGTAGTTTTACAGGGAGAGAATGTCAGTCCCTAAGGGAAATAACTTCAAACATCATGAAAAATTATGTCAAGGACAATCAGTAGCTTTCCTGAAAATACTATAGCAGAACATGCAACAAAGCCAAGAAAGTTCACAGACTGAAACCGAAGTTTAAAAAAAAATCAGAAAATAACATCTTCCATTTAGAGGATGGTATCTGGCTCTTGCTTTTTTTTAGCAGGAGGATCCCTTCTGCATATCAGAGCTCTCCCCATGGCAGGTTATCATCATCCACAGTGCTGGATGTGCTCCAGCTCACTAGGCTCCTGCATTGACTTTTGGACTTCACAGGGTCCCAAAGCCTATACTTAGGAGACCCAAGAAGACATGCCTAAGCAAAACATATGGAAAAGAAAGCTATAATTTATTTTATAACATTAATGTAAATAAGAATAAGCATTATTACAGTAAGAGTAAGAATTGGTGTTTGGCAAATGGACAGGAGAGAAATCTGCTATAGGCCTCATTTGGCTCAAAAGATCCTAAAAGGACAAATGTATTCCAGATCTTCCCAGACTTTACTGAAGGAGATTTTAGTTGCTTGGGCCACCTGATGAGAACAGAAGCTCTTTAGTGGGGCTGGGGTCCCTGAATTGGCAAATAGACACAGGTACTCTACAATGGGAGACTGGTTTTGGGGCTAATCCACAGGGTTGAGCTGCCTATGGCTACAGCAAGCTAAAGAGCACCAATAGTCATGTGCCTGAGAAGGACATTTAAAAAAAACTGTTAATTTATTGTTTCAAAGTTTTTTTTAAACAATCTCCAATACATGCAGTTCAGGGTTAAGTATCACATTTACAGCACATTGTTTTGAGTCTTGACACAAAAGTATGCATCATCAATCCCATCACATCTTTCTTCCCCCAGCCTCTGTAATACCTGTTTGGGGTGTTTTATTACACATTGATAGAGCTCAAAAGCATTTTATTACTGGTTTCCTTGTCACCTCCCCTCCCAGCTACCCACACCCCGGGGTTAGCTTTTAAAGGTGGGACATTCAGTTTTGATGTATTCAGTTCACTGACAAACTAGGGCTTATTGTGTGCTCAGGAGGACACTGCTTTTGCTTTCAGAGTGTTTTCATCTACACTTTGGCTTTTACTTCCATCAGCTATCATCCACTCATTTATCTGCACGGGGAATTCTGTTCTTCCCTGTGGATCCTCACGCAGTAACACAGCCTTCTAAACAAACCTTTAAATCTGAACTAGCATTAAAGGAAACTGTTAACTAGGCTCTTTTAGATTTATTTCAATGCATATATAAAAATTCTTCCAAGTTTGTCTCCCAAAGCAGCTCTGCTTCCACTCACATCTACACAGCACCTGGGAGAACCTAAGCTATTTCCCTGAGTAGGCATAGACTGTGAGACACTCAGCACCAGCTCTCTCTAGGACTCAGCACCTGACTCGAGAGCACCACCTTTCAAAAGGGTCACAGGACCCAAGCCAGAGGGCAGTGTCCTCCCCAGACCACACTCTGGAACAGGAACTTAGTGTCTGTGAGAAGGACATTTCTGTCATTCCAGGGGATCAATGTTGCCTTAAGAACAATTCGTGAAGGGCAGATGAGCTGGGCAATGATTCAAAACCTTGATTTCTAGACAAACATCAGACACACCTGTTGCAGAGAGGGGCTCCCCACTTTCACATGCTGTCATATCCTCTGAAGGCCCCACTGCAAAGAGAGAGGCTTCCCAATACCTTAGTGCTCAGAGCCACGCGGAGTCTATAGGGGGCATCTGCCATCCAGCCTGTGGACTTCCCCACAGTTGTCTTTATTGGCACCACACTTCCACCTCGCTGAAACACTGGTACCTGCAATCCAGCAGCTCTCTCAAGTAAGTGCATTCACAAAAGAAACGTCAGAGTAGAATTGTAGAGTATTTCCATGTATAAGAGTCAGATTTTTTGCAAGTATAGTCTCAAAGGCAAAACAAACTTGTAGGCACTGAGATAGCAAATGTGGCAGACCTGGGGTTATTAGAAAAGAGCTCAACTAAAAACAGCCCAGTTTTTCAATTATTTGGGAAACTGTCTACCTTTCATTGGTTTATTATAAATACCCATCTTTGCTATTTTTTCTCATGATGAACTCTATCTGCCCATCTCATAAGTGGCCTTCTTGTTTTGTATTTTTAGTGTTCCTATCAATATAGTATAAGTTTACTTCTAGAGCTCTGCTGCAGAATGCCTTTCCTGCTTGTGTAAGTGGGCTCAGACAATTGTGTACATATATGTGCATCTGCAATGTGCTTCTTGGTTTGGGGGAATGACTTTTGCCCTTCCTCACTGTCAATATACTTTTTGTTCCCTGCATCACTGGATCACCAGGATGATGACCCAATTCTGAGGGCAAATCTGTGAAACTGTTATAGAAACCATCAAGTTTCTGTAAGTCTTCTTTTTTTTTTGGTACCGGAGATCGAACTCGGGTCCTTGGCTTGCGAGGCAGGCGGGGGAACCACTGAGCTAAATCCCTGGCCCTTCTGTAAGTCTTCTTGAAGTCACTATAACAACAGTTGTGGGCATGGTGCACAGTTATTGGCTTTCTGGAGTGGCACTTCTGTTTGGTTTGGCCTTCTGTCAGGTTTCCTGCCTCAGGTAAGGCAGCTGCCAGATGAGATGAGGGCTTGTATTTTGTTTGAAGTAAAATACTAGCAAGGAGAAGCATATATAAGCATTTATGAAGTTGGGAATGACGGTGGAGTACTTAAGATGTCACCTCTGTTTAACCTGCAGTTGGCAGCAAGAAGTAAAGCACATCTATCCCCCGCACACCCTCATTAATTGGGCAATCTCTCTCTTATTTTATTGTTCTACTTTTATTTATTTTTTGAGGTACCAGGGATTGAACTGAGGACCTTGTGCTTGCAAGGCAGATGTGGCACCATGGAGCTAAATCCCCAGCCTTCTACTTTTTTTTTTAAAGAACAAGGTGGTCGTTATAGTAGAATGGGCTCTAGACCAGGTCCAGCAGATGGGGGCCCATTTCAGTTCTGTCACAACTCTGGTCAAGTAACTGAACTTCTCTGAGCCTAAATGTGAAGGACTGGAGTAAATGATTAGTAAGGTCTCTTTCGGATCTGAGAGTTTATATCTGAAAAATCCTTCTTTGTAATAACACTACTGATAAACTTAAGAAATAACATCACTATTTCAAACTACTCAGGGTCTGTGGCAGTGGTCATGTGTCGCACTTCACAACTGTGGTATGCGCAAAGGATGAGAGAATACTCAGAGTTCATGTGCACTTTGACCTCTAAGAGGGCCCAAGAGGGGCTGCCTTAACAGAGGAAAAAGTTCAGCCCCAAACTGAAGCTTCTTGGGTTTTTATAGATAGAACCAGGAAGCAAGGATAAAGGACAAAAAAGGATGTCTGTGCAGGAATTCACGTAGGGGACAGGGGAAGGACAGGGAAGGTCAGGGTAGTCTGTTACAAGACTGACCTTAGGGCCAATCTAAGTAATGATTCTGAGAATGGGGGAAGAGGGCCAGAGCATTCACTCCTTAAGGCAGTGTGTTTGATTCTACTTGGACCTGTGGCCCTGTAGGCTATCTTTTAATGTCTAACCATGCATTCTGGGAGATTTTGGGCTATTAGCCCCAGAAGTTTCTTATCTCTCTGCATATCCATCTCATTCCTACCTCTGGCTAACACCTCCACAGTTGTGATTCAGCTCAGGAAGAAACTTCCCTTTAGAAACTCAGGAAAGCCCAAATGGGCTTTGAGACTAACATCAACAGATATATGCCCTTGGGCCTGAAGGTCCATGGTTACACATGAAACCTGTTTTTTTTCTCCTCAGACAGGGTCTCACTACATAGTTCAGACTGGCCTTGAACTCACTATGTGGCTCAGGATGGCCCTGAACTCACAGTGCTCCTCCTGCCTCAGAGTGCTGAGACTATAGGCGTGTGCCCCCATGCCGGGCTCAAAAACTCATTTTTACTTTGTCCTGTACAAGGACATTTTTTATGGCATACATGATGACTGTCATTGCTGTTTTCAATGTTATTATTTTCTTCGATGTACCAAATGACAACATATGAGGACAAATCATATTTATCTCCAGTGGTTTTTTTTTTTTTTTGTACTGGGGATTGAACCTGGGACCTTGCACTTTCAAGGCAGGCGGCGGAACCACTGAGCTAAATCCCCGGCCCATTTCCAGTGTTTTATACCAGTTCTTTCCCCCACATTATAACAACTTCATTGATACAATTAATATGTTGTAAATTCACATTTAAAGTGCACACTTAAACAGGTTTCAGTATATTCAGTCATACAACCATCATCATAACTGACTTTAAAATATCTTCAGTATCCCCAAGAGGAACCTGTTCTCAGAAGCAGTCAGCACCATGCTCTCCACCCCATGCCCACCTCAGCCTCACTTCTGCCTCTGTACGTATGTGTTACCATGCAGAACACTAACATCCCTACTTCTTTGTTTGCAGAAACATGTTACAGATTGTTTGTGTCCCCTCAAATTCAATTGAAACCCCACCCCTCAATGTGACTGTATTTGGGGATGAATAGGGCCTTTGTGCTTTGTGGGAGTAATTAAGGTTAAAACTGAGGTCATAGGGTAGGGCCCTCCTCTGATAGCAAGTGTCTTTATAGGGACAGGGGAGCTTAGGCACTGTCTGTGCTCCCCTGCTCCCCCCCCGCCCCACCGTGTCACATGTATAAGTCAGGAAGAGGGACTTAGGAGGAACCGAAGCAGCTGGCAGTTTGATCTGGGACTGCCACCTTCAGAACAGTGAGATACGTTTCTGCTGTTTAAGCCCTCCAGTTTGTGGTATTTTGCTATGGGAGTCTGAGAAGAGTAATAAGGCAGGTAGAAGCAGTAGTCTGGAAGTAACTCACAGTATCCAGGGCTACTGGGATCTTCATAGTACATCCTCCTTCCCAGCAAGCAGATGTCTTAGGGTCATACCAGATCTAGAAAGTAACAGACACCAATGAAAAATGATACACGAACAACTCTGCTCACACTTTCTTTATTCAGGAAGCATTCATTTAACTGTATTTCAAAAGCCCAAGAAATGTAAAGTATAAATTTACCTTGGGTAGAAGTTAGGAGGAACATATGCTGTCAAGATACCCAAGGGACAGTGACTCTAACAGGCCATTCATTTGTTCACCTACACATTTTTTTTTTTTTGGCAGTACTAGGGATAGAATCCAGGGCTTCACCCACGCTAGGCAAGTGTTCTGCCACTGACCTATACACTTGATCTTAGCCAAAAGGCCGAGAAGCGATGCCACTGACCTATATCCTCAACCTCTTTTGTTTTTTATTTTGAAACAAGGTTTTGCTAAGTTGTCCTTTGAACCTGTGGTCTTCCTGCCTCAGCCCCCTGAGTAGCTGTGGTTACTGGTGTGAGTCATGGCACCTGGCTCCAAAGTTATTTATTGAACAACTTACCCCCGGGATAGTGCTGGATGTACATGATAATTAAGATCTCTACAGGAGTGAAAAGAAAAGATATAGCTTCTGTGGTTCTTAAAGTCCACTTGGTTTTTAAAAACTGAACACATCTACCAGTAAACAACATGATAAAGAGGAAAAAAAGAAACAGCAAGAGGAAAAGTACAGACTGAAGACAAATGAGGAAGGAGAAAAGACAGCATCAGTGAAGGAACAAATTTGGGAGGAAAACATGGAAACTTTTTCTCCTGGTTTCCCTTTTCACATAGTGCAATTCAGAGATGGGCTCTGACTAGGAGTTAGCTGCTGAAGTACCATAAGGGTCCCATCAGGTCATGCGGTGGGATTAATCCTTAAAATACCTTCAAAAGCAGTGTCAAAACAAACACCTTTTTCTCTCTTCGAGCCTAGTGCACTTTCTGGCAACCACACAGAGTCTGTGTCCTAAGTGCACCTCCAGGAAGTACCATCTCCTGTGTACAGCAGGGGTGCTGGTCTCCTGTCCTGCTGTGAAGGTGATGGTATTCTGACAGTGTTAGCCACCATGGACTCTTAATTCAACAAGCTAAGACCCTCTGTAGTCACGATGTGTTATCCTTGGCTGGATTCAATTTACTAATGTCTTGTCAAAGATTTGTGTGTCTGTGTTCATGAGAGACACGGTCTCAGCTTTCTTTTCTTTTCTTTTTTTAGTACCAGGGATCAAACTCAGGACCTTGCGTTTGCGAGGAAGGTCAGCTTTCTTTTTTTGTACGTCCTCCTCTGGCTTTCTCACTACTCTCTGGCCAATTCCACAGGCTTTGGGTGAAGAGCTGGTGGGGTGAAAAGTATAAAGCTGATGCAAACAGGACTGTATGTCTACCATTTCCAGAAAAATTAAATGAAAGATGCAGGGTTTGTGCTCTGGCACCACCTACAAAGATCGCCAAATTGGGAGGGTATAATCGGTGCAAAACACCATGAAGATCAGATCCAGACCTCAGGCCCCAGTTCCTCAGTCAGCAGGTGCTCAGCAAGAGGGTCACGACGTGCCAGGAATCCAGCTAGGTGCTGGAGATGTGACAGTGAGCCTAAGAGACGAAAGCCGCTGCCTTCCAGGAGCTCACACTTGCATGGGAGAGGAACATAATGAACAAACACATCTGTGTCTATACGCACAGCTATATACATATGGCAGCCAGCTACCACATTAAGAGAGCTACCACTGGCAAGAAATGGCGTGGCTCTTTTATCTAGGGTTTGTGAAGATATAGCAAGAGAAGCAATCACAGAACACTCTGGGAAAGTATTGAAGGAATGTAGTACACAGTCACAACGATGTGTCTGCAGTGGTGACAGATCATTAGTAAAAACTCTTGGCCATGTCTGGAAGTGAGCCAGTTCCTCTTCATGGAGCCACCTCCTTTGTCAGACTCAACTTGAGACACTTAATGGACATTCTGGCAGGACCATTTATTTAGCTGTTGTTGTAATTAACCTTTTTCTCGGGTTTATGCTTGGCAGGAGAATCTTTGTAGAGAGCTCTTGACTTCAGAGTTAAAAACCAAGAAGAAAGACCACAGTTCATCAACCTTCTGGAGAAAAGCCTGGTTATTGTCATCACTAATTCCAAGCATGGTAGGCTGAACAGCAGCTCTTCAAAAGACTATCTAGGGCTGGGGATTTAGCTCAGTGGTTCCATCACCTGCCTCACAAGTGCAAGGTCCTGAGTTTGATCCCTAATACCAAAAAAAAAAAAAAAAAAAAAAAAGACTATCTGGACATGGCAGTGCCCAGCTGCCAGGACCTCCAGGGGTCTGCCCAGTCTCCCCAAGCCTGGGCAATGCTTTAATGCACAAGGCTCTCTCTAGGTCTATCCCTTCCTACTCTCCATTCCACACTCTCTGACCTCCCATGTTTGTGCCCTGAGTCTTCTTTGGGCCTCTCTGCATATATATATATATATATATATATATATATATATATATATATGCAATCTCTGCTCTACAGACCATGGTTATTCCCACCTTTTGACTCTACCCTGGGCTCCAGCAGATCCAGGATGGCATTTTGTACAGGACAGTGATGATAATCAATGACAGTAACTACTAACAGAGTAGATGAAGGCTAGAAGGTAGAGAAGGAAGAAAAGTGTGTTTTTATCCACTTCGGTGAGTGTCTGGAGAGAATTTTTTGTTATCAGAACTCAGGATTTAGAGGGAGCCAGAACCAAAGAGCAAAATCTCTTTATATTTATGTTTCCCATCCCCAATCCGAGTTTGCTATCCCTTAGTTGACTGAAGATTTCTTCCTACCCTAAGCTTCAGTGTGCTTATAAAGACTCACTTAAGACAAAATGCCAAGATTGTTCTCTGGTGTGAGAAACTGACTGTGGAAATGAGGACTGAGATGTATTACGGATGTTGGGAAATGGGAAGAAAGTGTTCAAAAGGGAAGGGGAACAAGGGAGGAGGGAGGGAGAAAGGAGAAAGGGACAAGATAAAAGTGAAAATAGAAGGAAAAATGGAAACAAAGCTTTTGTACAGAGGGAGGAGGCTTGAGGGGGAGAATGAGACAAAATAAAATAAAATTTATATTAAAAAAGACAAAACGCGAAGATAAAAACCATCATGATTTGGACTCATCACTTAGTTATCTTTCTCCCTCCTCTCCTTCATTACATTTCTTGGCCACTGAGGACAGTGGCCATGACTTAAAAAATCATCAGTTGCATAGACATTTGGAGTGTGTTCCTTAGAGAAATGACGGAGTGAGAGATATGAGTCATGATATGTGGCCGTTTGTTATTACTCTTACCTCATTTGATCCTGGCAGAAATACGTCAACCATGGTTGCTTTTGGTTCTGTGACTGGATGGACCAATAAGGCACTTCCTAAAAAATGGAGAAGAAAAAAACCTCAAGTATCATGGTAAGAAATCTGAAAACATCCTTTCCATTTAATTGAACACTTGTGCTTTAGAAGATCACTAGCTTGTGTACTTCGTAAGGCAAGGAACATGGGGATCTGAAGCAATGATTCATCAGAGATGCACTGTTAGAAAGAGGACAGGGCCTCAAAAAGATGGCTGAGGTATCACCTGTCATGAATCCATATTGCACCTGGGGGAAGGGACCTGAGACGGCCTGTCACAGTCTTTGGGAATCACTGCTAGTGTGACACTAACCTGACAGCATGTTGCACCTCTCTCACAGGCAGCACTGCTTGCTGCAAGGGATGCTGATGACAGTGAGCCCACACTGGCACTACGGGGGTATAAAATCTACCCGTTCATGAATTCATTCTTTTACTCAGTAAGTACTTATTTACTGAGTGCTTACTAAGTCCTAGGCATCATTCTAGGCTCTGGGGAAGGAGCAGAAAATGAAGCAAGCATAGCCCCTGGCTTCAGGAAGTTTATGGTAAATGAAGACAGATGTTAAAAGATAATTACAAGTTAATTAGAGTAATTAAGAGTTAATTACACATTAATTAGAGATAATTACAAGTTAATTAGAGGCAAAATTACAAAATGAAATGAAAGTTATGTAATAGGAAGAACTGGCTTTGACTTGGGTATGAGGAGAACAGGTGTAGTCAAGGAAGTTTCTCCAAGACAGTGACTTGAGCTGAGACCTAATGTTCTGGGGACTGAACCCACGCTAGACAAGTCCCCTACCACTGAGCTACAATCCCAGCCCAGGGCCCTTTTTATTTTATATTTTTACATTTGGAAGTATTCACTGTTTAGAAATGGGATTCACCCTTTGGCAACTCAATGTTTAGCCCGACTTCTTGAGTCCTGTCCTACAATGATAAAGTTCTAAGTTCCAGGTGTGAGGGTTAATCTTTATTTTTGGGGTTTTTTTTTTTTGGTACCGGGGATCGAACTCAGGACCTTGTGCTTGTGAGGCAGGAGGCAGAACCACTGAGCTAAAATCCCCAGCCCTAATCTTTATTATAAGCTTATTATGTTTGACATAGACTCTTCCAGTTCTGTACTTTAACCCTCTGATGTACTTTTTTCTACATCCCTTCCCTGTAGTCATCTCACAGGGCTTAGAGGAGTGGACTCAAAATAAAAATCCCAAATTACTCCTGCAAATAAAATGGACTTATTTGAAGTTGACAAGAATACTATAAATGGTACATTATAACAGAATAGAGCTATGACCCCATTAATGTATTAAAAATCTTGGTAGGGCCGGGGATTTAGCTCAGTGGTTCTGGAGCCTGCCTCACAGCACAAGGTCCCGAGTTCGATCCCCGGCACCAAAAAAAAAAAAAAATCTTGGTGAAGGAATGTCTTTTAGTTTTATATTTGGCTTTCTTGGGACTAGGGATGGTTAAAGTGCTCTCTATTAGAAAATATAATAAAAGCATAATTATAGTACTTACCATAACTCTAATTAATAAATACTTACCTAGCATGTATTCATCTTCTATGCCAAAAGTTTCTACTTCATTAGGGAACTCTATCCACAGAGGCCTGGGGAAAGAGAAAAATTCACATTTTAACCTCATTAGATGTTTTATTAGATCTTTTCTTAGATTTCTATATTTTTAGTTTTATAACTACTAAAAGGAAATTGGAAAGTACCAAAAAGCCAGGATTCTGTTTTATATGATTTACGATTTTATGAGAAATTGCTGTGATTATTTTATATTTTTAGTTTGTGGTATTAATGCAAATGTTTCTGGAACCTACAATTTTTCCTTATGATTGTTGAGCACTAAATGCTGTGCTATTGGAAGAATCAAAGTTTTATATAAGTGCAGATGCCTAACTTGTGTGGTGTAAAATAAATTAAGTGTTTGTAAAAACATATTCTATAATGACGATAATTTTGTGCCATTTTTTCTTGCTGTCACTGTCTTTCATGAATCACTTAATCATTATGTATTCTTTTTTTAAATGAAAAGAATTTCACTACATCTATTTTTTGGGATTAAGAAATTATTCACTATTCTTTCTTGATTGTTTTTTCACACAACTATCTGGAAGGCATTTGGGTTCATAGAAGATAAACCGTTCAATATCTACGTATCTGGATAGCAACTTCATTGTTCTAGTCATTTTTCAATTTCATGAGGCAAAGATATTTTTAATAAGAGAAACATTTTTATTCACTAGCCTTTGTAATAACATATTACTTTCATTCTGAATGGTAACAAAGCTATGATTGCTAGACTTGGCCAACATCTACAATCACAGGGAAACATCTAACAAATGCAGATCCTGAAAACCTACCTATGGAGATACCTACAAGGCTTTCAGAGTGTGGCAGTTGAAGTCTACAGTTTTAAGACACTCCCAGGATATTCTGATCTGACTCATTTAGGAACCATTAATCCTGAAGCCTTGGTGTATTATGGCTGTCTGTGTATCCTTCCCTAACTTAGCAAATTGTTTTTTCATATTTTGCTTTCAAAATAAAATTACAATTTGCACATTAAGAAAAAGTTCACCTCATACTCGTAAGTGAAATAAATAGGACACACATGTGTAAATACTGAATAGTTTCTCTAGTGTGAGAAAATGAAAGGGTAAATAAGGACTAAAAGGTATAAGAGATAATGTGAAATAGGAAGAAAAGGGGGAAGGGGAAGTGGGAGGGGTGGGGGAAAGGAAAGAAAGGAATGGAATTAATATGAGAAAATGAAAAAAATGGAAACAAAGTCTTTGTAAATAGGGAGGGATGGAGGGGTTGAAGGGAGGGCAGGGGAAGGGGGAAAAATAAGAATCATGAGAGATTATGTAAAGATGCAAATTTCCAATGATGAATGTCATTATACTGTATACCTAAAATGTACCAATAAAATAAAATAAAATAAAATAAAAAAAGAAAAAGTTCACCTCACATCGAGAATTCAGCCTTAAGGGTAAGATAAAGTTTAAGATCAGCAGATGAATTATTCTTCATGAAAGGATGCATGTAGGTTAAATAATAACAAGTTCAGCTACAAGGTCACTTTCTTATTCTTTGAAATGTCTCTATTTCTTTGTCTTCACAGACACTAACACTTTAATCACAAGTAGTAGGGAATCTAGTTTTTCTCTTCTGTGTTTTCAACAGCCGGCACCTTCTGCACAGTTGGTAGTCAATAAATGAATGAAGCTTGATTTCAATACATGGATTTTCTTCATTTTTTCTCTTAGAATCACTGTGCATATACACTAGTCCCTAATTACTAGGGGGCCGGGGACAGACTGGTCACTGTGCCTGAGTGGATGATGCTTTTTTCCCTGAGTGCTCTACCACAGAGCTACATCCTTAGCCCTGTAGGGTGCTTTTTACCTCATGACAGGTTCAGAAGCCACATGTGCTTGGTAGAACAGAGAATACAAATAAGGCAGAAGGGTATAGCGCTCTCGGATGGCTTCTCGGATGAGCTGGGTGTACTCCTTCCCAAACAGCCAGGGTTCCCGCCGCTTGGTGTTCATGGAGGCATGGCCACGGAAGAAAGGCTGGTAGGCCCCAGCCTGGTACCAGCGAACTAAAAGCTCTGCTTCTGGGTTCCCGATGAAGCCCCCCACATCAGCTGGTTAGGTAAAGAAAGGCCATATAAGGTTACCAGACTTCAAATCAGAGATGCACACAGGTAAAATAAGGCCCTGAAGACATGACAAGAGGAAGGTGCAGTATGCACGCTCCAATGACAGGACGAAGCTGTGGCCTCAGACGGGGGAGCACATGCTGCAGAGCCCCGCCTCTCTGGAGCTCTGACAGAATACTCTCTGGACACTCCTTTCTTGTCAAAGGGTCACAGGCTTTACTGGGAAATCTATACTCCCATATGTTCCTGAACCCACATCACCCAGAAATTGTGTAGCACTGGCCTGATTAAACGTGTGTGTGTGTGCGTGGGGGTGGGGTGAGGAAGAGGCTGTCGGTTTCCTTTGAAAGCAACTGTTAAAAAAAAAAAAATTAAAGAACTAGAGAGAAACAAATAGTTAGAATCAGAGGTTCTGGGGGCCAGAAACGTAGCTCAGCAGTACAGTGTCTGGCTGGCAAGTGTGAGTCCTTGAGTTTGATTCCCAGTACCAAAAAAAAAATTAGAAGTTGTGGTAGAATTTCATGTTGAGCCCTTGAGCAGGAGATATATTTCTTACATGGTATGTGGACCAATGCCATAAAAATACATGCTGTACATCAGAAAAGTGATGCTGTTTCTATTCCTCCAGAAAACCAGCAGCTGGAACTGTGGCCATACTGACTACTTTCCACCTAGATGTCTCCATCTGCAGATCTCAGGATGCAGGGAAGGCAGTTCATCAGAGACACTTAACTAAGTTTACTTTTCTCTAGAGCCTGTCTTTTAAAAAAAAATAGTCAAATTTTGTCACAGAATTTTGAATCTGCTAAGTGGAAAGAATTTCTGTAAGGCTCACTTTTTATTTTCTGCAGTGCCGAGGACTGAACTCAGGGCCTTGTGCATGCTAGGCAAGTGCTCTACCACTGAACTCTATCCCCTACCGTAGGCTAACTTCTGGTTTGGTAAATTCTTTGTAGTTCATTCTACTGTCGCACTTTCAAGAAAAAAATACAAGGTGTGATTGAAAAATACAGTGAGTGTTTTAGAAAATTTTGGGCTGGGGATTTAGTGACACCACGCCTGTCTTGCAAGCCCAAGGTCCTGAGTTCGATCCACAGTACCGAAAAGAAAGAATTATTATAGTGAAAGATACTTAGATAGTTTAGAAAATGGTCCCCAAAGCCTCATGTCTGGAAGGCGACTGGATTATGTAAGTGGTATAGGTGACTCCCTGTTAGGAGGTGGGGTCTGGTCAGAAGAGGTGGTCACCGTGAGTAGGTAGGGTAGATCTGCCTTCCAGGCTCCTCGACTCTGCTTTCTGGCAGCCATGTGAACAGCTTTTCCTCTGCTATGCCCCTCTGCCATCCCATCCTCCCTTGTAGCCAGCAGATTATGTGTAGGGAACAGGGAAAGGGGACCTCTTGGAGAAGAAGCCAAGCTCGGGGGCTTTTGTCTTTGACGCTCAGAGCAGCCCTGATCAGACCCAAAGCTCAGCTTCTTCTCAAAGTCTCATTTTTCTACCTTTCCTGTATAATAGTTTAATTCGCCTTGTGCTGCTGTGGCTTGCAGGAGACTAGGACTCACTGCAGAGGTTCTAGTAACATCCCCTTTCCCTGTTCCCTACAATTATGGACTGAAAATGTGAGCCAAAATGAGCCTTCCTTCTTTTAAGCTGTGGGTGTTGGGTACTGGATCCCAACAACAAGAAAGTGACCAAGATGGACACACTGCCATTAATCCCCCTCAAAACACTGCCCCTCACTTTGACAACATGTATCCTATTGTTCTTGCCACTTTCTGAAGCAGTTTTGGAAGACCTCTTTGGTGAATGTTTTTAGTTGTGTTGTGGCTCCCTCAATGTCCTGAATCAATTCAAAACATTTATCTTTCATGGTCACTTGACTTTGGGAAAGAGCCAGAAGTCGCATAGTGCCAGATCTGGTGAGTAAAGTGGACAAGGACACACCAGATGTTTTCATGAGCCTGCCTTTCTATTGTACGGTGCTCAACAGCAGTGTTCAGCAAATTTCTGATCACACCTTGTAAAGACACTCATGAAAGAGGAGTTCTAGAACTGCTTCAGAAAGTGGCAAGCATGACAAGACAGGTATGAGTATATTGTAGGGAGATGAACAACAACGTATCTGTTACCGTAATAACTTTTTAAAATGTAAAGATTTATATATATTTTGGTCACACCCTGTATATGTTTCAGAAGGAGAAACTCAATTATCAAGTGCATCCCAGGACGAAGTGGTAAGGGAATCAGGGAAGGAAGCACTCTGGCTGCCCTTCTGACAACCTCATTTCATTTCCTCAATCTACACAAGACACAAGCAAATCTGAAGCCCCTCTTTCATTCTCCTGTGACCTGCTCCCCTCACTTTCTCCCAGCTTCTCTTCCCACAATTATCCCTGCCTCAAACAGCTAATGAGAAGTAACTGGTGAGCAGCTTGGACAAACACACACTTCAAGCCTTAGGACAGGACTTGTCTCACCTCCACAGAAAGAGATCCCAGTAATGCTGAGAGTGAGCAACATTGGGATGGAAATCTTCAGGTAACTCCATTCTGCTGTGTTGTCACCTGTCCACACTGCACCTTCGGTCACCAGTAACAAGGTTTTTAAAAAGTACAAATCAGCCCAAGAACTCAATTTCATATTTAGATTCCTTATTTGTAAAAGACAAATTAATAAAAAGGAAAAACATATATCTTACCTTTAAATAAATTCTAGATTTTCTAGAGCAAAAATACACCAATTTTCTTAAGTGAAAAAGTTATTAAAATTCATAAAACAAGCTACGAAGATATTCTGAAACTGTACTTATTTTTGAAGTACAATTCAAGTCTGAATATAGGAGATTTTTTTTTAGAAATGGGGATTAAATCTAGGGCCTCGTGCTCTAGTAGTAGTGCTAGGCAAGTGCTCTACCACTGAGCTGTACCTCCACCCTCTTTTTCCAAACAATTTAATTTTGAGAGAGGGTCTTACTAAGTTGCCCAGGCTGTCCTCATACTTGCAATCCTCCTGCCTTAGCCTCTCAAGTAGACTGGATTATAGGCCTGTGCCACCAGGCCCAGCAAGGAGGTATTTTTGGAGACAAAATTTACATGCAATAATGTACCTACTTTAAAGAGTTTGATGAGTTTTGAAAAATGCATATATCCATGTAGTCACCACCATAAACAAGACATAGAATTTGCAAAACTAGAAAAGTTTCCAAAACTACAAAAGTTCTCTCAAGATTCTTTGTGGTCAATAACTTCCCACTTTAGCCAACTACAGAAGCGATTTGATGAATTCTAATTTATAACATTTTTTTATAGTTCATGCGTTTTGTGTTCTAGCCCAGAAATCTTTTCCTATCTCAAACTCACAGATTTTCTCCTAAAGTGGTTTTGCTTATCTGTTTTAGCTTTTATAACTTAGGTCTATATTCCATTAAGTGGTATTGAGGCAGGTTTTGAGTTCAGGCAGTCTTGGCACAAATCCAGGGTTATGCTTTTCTTCATAGCTGGTAGGAGTTTGTGAAGATAGATTATGTCACTAAGATGATGTGTAAATGGGAAAAAAATCTTATTTTACTGTATCTTGAGTATTTCTGAAGTATTTCTATCTATCTTCTATCAAACTAGTTTTAGTAAATATTTTTAATTTCCCACAGAAATTTTGAGCTGTCTTATTGCCTGCCAAGAAAAATATTTCCAAGGGATTGTTCTTTTCAAATAATGTTCTTGTGATTTCTCCTTGACTTCAAGTGAGCTATGTATATGTCTACATAATAATTTTGAAATCTGCATGGTGACATTGTCATTCATTGAGAAAGCTCATGTAAGCCTGTAGGTGTTTTCCTGTCTCATGTGGTTGTTAACTCAGAATATCTCTCTAGTTACTGGTCTCAGTGCATGACTAAACAAAACAGAATTCTCTACAATGGTTTGCTACACACTGGGCAAAGGTGATGGCTTCACAGAGTACTGAAGACTAGGAAGTGGGCAATCACTCAAGAGATCAAAGGTAACAGTATTCACATCTTCTGTTATTTATTTATTTATTTATTTGGTACTGGGGATCGAACTCAGGTCCTTGTGCTTGCGCAGCAGGCGGCGAAACCACTGAGCTAAATCCCTGGCCCTACTTCTGTTATTTTTTAAAAGCTACTGCTTAGACATTTTTTCATTCAAATACATTTTTAGTGATGGAAAATGATACTCATATAAAATATGGAAAATAAAAATAGGTAAAAGAAGATTAAAACCACAATCACCAAGGTAAGAATTTTCTTTTTGGTATTTTATGACTTCTTATCTACCTACTTACTGATTTAAATTACCACCTTACATTTATATTTTATAAAATTATAAAATTTTATAAAATACCATTTTTTTCATTTATCATGATTTCACAAACATTTTCTCATGCAATTAAAGGTAACAGTTTGAAAAACTCATTTTAGTCTATTATGTGGATACACCACACTTTTATAACTATTGCCTATTTCTTACTTTTTTAGATCTTTTTTCTTTTCTCTTTGTCTCTCTCTTTCTTTTGTTCTTTCTTTCCCTTTCTCCTCTCATTCCTTTCTATTCTTTCTCCTCTCTCTGTCTCTGTCTCTGTTTCTCTCTCTCTGCTTCTCTCTCTCCCTCTCTCTTCCTCTGTTTCAAGAACTAGTGCTGTGGTGAGAATCTACATGAATCATTTCCTGAGATGCTAATACTTTGGCCTTTGGCTGAATATCACAGGGGCTGGTTTTCAAGGGTTGTACGGGAGGCCTAATAATGTCTGCAATACAGTAAGAGCTGGGTTCTTCAAATTAGTTACTTATAACTAATTATACAAGTTATTTATACAAGGACAGGGGACTTAAAATAGCCTTCCTACCACACGGTGGTTAAGATGAACTAGATCTATATTGGCTAGTAAACCAGATCCAGTTATAGATGACCCTGACCACAAGCAACAGGCAGGTCTATTTTCAGCACATTACCAAGTGAAACAGCTGGTTGAGGAAAATGTTAGAGGTATATTTCTCCGGTTTTGATAAGGCAAAGGGACAGGATCAGAGACAGCCATGTCAGCATATAAAACCGTAAAGGAAGATCACAAGTTGAGGTCATCTGGGTAATTTAGTGAGACCTATCTCAAAATACAATTTTAAAAAAGGGCTGGGATATAGCTCAGCAATTCTTGGGTTTAATCCCCAGTACCAAACCAAACCAAACTAAACCAAACCAAACCAAACCAAACAAAAAAAGCAGCAGCTCACTTCAGGGGCATCATCAACACAGTGGCAGTGTATAAATGATCAAAAAGACAGGTGGCTAACTTATGTTTTTCAGTCTGATGATATAGCCATCTTACCATACTTTTGTGATCCAGCAAAGAAAGAACGTGAAAGAACAAAAGGTCTCTCCTTTCCTTTAGATCGCTGTATCAGTCCTTCTGCAGTAGCCATTTGCTGTAAAGTCAATGGAGAAAAATTTCAGTGATAGGGTTAGGGCACTGTGCCAACCATCAATAAGCTACTTAACATGCAAAAAGTAAATAGTAGGTGGGAATGTGCAATGGAAAACATTAAAATCCATCAAATCATTTTCATGGTATAATGCAACCAATCTAATTTCCCCTATTAAAAGAATGAAAAAAATTTTATTGACAATCTCAATGAAATAATAGAGAACAGGACTAGGGAGGTAGCTCAGTGGTAGAGCACTTGCCTAGCATGTGTGAGGCTCTGGTTCAATCCCCAGCACTAGGAAAAAAAATAATAGTAAGTAATCAGCTAGCATTTATTTGTTTATTCAATGTTTACTATTACTAGGCATTTTATAATAATTCTTATATAATCTTATAATAATCTCTGAGATAAGTATTTTTTGTTGGTGAAAAAAAAAATCAGAGAGGATAAATGACTGGCCTCACCCTACATAAGACAATTCTCTAACTCAAGCAGTTTGCAGTTATACTAACAGGCTGTTAGAGAACTAAATACATACTACTTGAAAACTGTGCTATCTCTAGTCAGCAGCTCCCACTGAAAAATACTAATTGGTGGGAGGGCCAAGGGAATATGGTCAAATTCTGAAAATAACAAAGAACCAAAGGTATAAATTATGGCAAGTGATTGTCAAATCACTTATGGATGTGATTGGCAAATAAAATACAATTCTACCACCTTTATTGAGAAGAGCAAGCCCTTAAGGAAAGCTTTCTACATTTGAAAAGCATACTTATTAAAATTACACATCTGTATTCTAAATCTTACTCCCCTTGTGTGAATAATAGGCTTGCTGTATTGGGATATTTGTGAAATTTTAAAACATTTGTTTTAATTACCTTTGTTAGTACATTTACGTACTACCTACATTAGTAAAATTTTGAGATAGTATCTAATGCAGTATACTAATGGCTCTTATTAAGGGAGATGTTTCTATGTTTCATTAATTCACAATATTTAAAATTCATCAAGTTCATTATGGAAGGAAAAGAAGAAAAAAGAAATAATAAAAAGTCTTATATTGGTTATAATCTAAGACTCAGCTGCAGTTGTCAGAAAAGACACACAGAGACATGAGCATGTATGTGGCTATTACAAAGAAAATGTCTTTCATCCCACTAGGCAGGGCACCTGAGTCCAGCTGGCTTCTTTCAGATGTCTTACCTGATAATAACCATAGATGTTGTGAAGTTCTCTGTGCTCCCAGTTGCCATGATGAATAGCATTCTTTTGCATGGTTTGTTCTGGCCCTCGAAAGACTGAGGGCTCATTCATGTCATTCCATATGAAGAGAATATCCGTAGATCCCTAGGATGTAAATCCTAATCATAAAAATACTCCCATAGTACTGATATGTAATAAGATAGCACTTCATATTCTTCTCTCCTACCCCATTTAATTTACTTATTTACTATGTTTACTGGGCAGGGAATTTTGTCTGTTTTGTTCAGTGACAAATACCAAACACCTAGAATATGGTTCACAGAAAGTTCTCAATAAATATACGTTGGTAGACGAAAGAATGCTGCACTGTACTGTCTGTGAACTATATACTGCCCAGCAAATTCATTCAGATCTCTCTGGAGAACCCCTGCCAGAAAGGTTGTGAATGTTCACAATGAAGCTCTCTATCATCTGTCATCTGCTACAACTCTTTTTTGTTTTGTTTTGTTTTTTGATACAGGGTCTTGCTACGTAGTTCAGGTGGCCGTGAACTCACTATGTATTCCACGCTGGCCTTGGACTCACGGAGGCCCTCCTGCCTCAGCTTCCTGAGTGCTGGGATTACAGGCGTGCGCCACCACGCTTGGCACATCTGCTACAACTCGTAATAAAGACAATTATAGCTATGCGTTACATACAAGACTTTTTTTCCCAGTGCTTGCAAAGTTTTGACAACTTAAGCTATCTATTTGTTAGCATGATCTATAATTTGTGTTCTACATGGAACTGTCCAATTTAGAGTGGGAAGGAACAGGTGAGTCATCCAGTCAATGTGGTGTTATAATCCCTTTTACAGAATCCCTAGCTTTGGCAGCTCATCCCATTATTTTCTGAATGCCCTGTTGCTTGTAACATCTGTTCACAAGGCCTAGTTTGCCTTCTGGGGTGCCACAGAAGACATCTCCTGCCTCACTCCCACGTTAGGGAGTTTGACAAATGCTGGGAATGGCTTATGTGGTCTCCTTTGACTCCTTACTTTCTACTCTTTCTAAACAAGTGTGCTTCTATGAACATGACTAAGTTTCCAAATATGTACCTTAACTGCTCTTTAGCACCCTCTAAAGCAGGGATTAGCAAGCTTTTTTTTTTTTCGGTACTGGGAATCGTACTCAGGACCTTGCATTTGCAAGGTAGGTGCAGCAATACTGAGCTAAATTCGCAGCCCCGCAAGCCTTTTCTGGTAAAAGACCAGATAGTAAATATATCTAACTTTGCAGGCCATAAGGTCTCTTAATTACTTAATTCTGTCATAGTAGAGCCATAGATGATAGTGAAGTGAATAAACATGACTGTATTTGGCCCAAGAGTTGTCTATCCCCATTCTAAATTTTTTGCTCTTGTCTTAATACTCAGAAAACAGTGTTTAGAAGATAAGTTAGAAATTTAGAAGTTAAGAGCTAGGCTTGGCAGATAAACAGACTTGAGTTAGAATCTTTGGTAAATCACTTACAGGATGTATGACCTTGGAAGGTACGTATGTATGTATGTATGTATGTATGTATTTATTTATTGGTACTGGGAATCGAACTCGGGTCCTTGCGCTTGCGCAGCAGGCAGCGAAACCACTGAGCTAAATCCCCAGCCCCTTGGAAGGATTTTAAACTCTCCATGCCTCAATTTCCTTATCTGTGGGATTAGATTTAATTATAGCTCCAACTTCGGAGGGTTATTATGAAGAAAAATGGTATAACACACAGAATAGTGCTTGCCACATAGGTTGCAATTATATGTGTTAGGTATCACCATCACCAAAAGCATCATTATCAATATTGCCAAAATTGTTTGAAAACAGTTGTCCAGGTTTGGAGACATGGCCTTTTTAGTTCTCTATGATTCTCATAAGATTTTTATATAACCAATAAATACTTTACTTTTAGTGACATATTATAGTTTATATTTTCACATTTATGATATCTCTTTAATGGTTGTAGAATGCTATTTTATATTAAAATGTATTTAGTAACTTGAAAATATAACACATCTGTTACAATGTACATTGGTATATTATAGAGCCGATTATAGCAGAGGTCACAACTCACAGCTTTTGTGCATTTAGTCATGCATGTGGCACCTCTCACAGCACTGTCCACCCGAGACTACTGTGGTGGGCACCTTTGGCTTTCACACAGGAATCACATGTCAAGAGCTACTCAGTGAAGCAGAGTAGCTATTTCATCACTTTTCTTTCATTCGTTCAAGTTAACTAGGAAAGAGTAAAGGAATAAAGACCAACCTGATAAGCAGGGAAAGCAAAAAGACCTGAATACCACTCTCTGACCTTGGGATTGGTGAAATCCAGGTAAGAGGAGAGACCTGTTGAGGCAGAGCAGTAGACACCCTGTTAGGAACAGTGATCTTCACAGTAAGATTGTTGTAAAGAAGACAGCAGATGCAAGAACTGGATAATCAATGGGCACCTTACATCAAACCTAAAAGAGATGAGAGAGGCATTCTCTGCAAGAGATGAATGAAGGTGGTACTGGACTCCACAGGCAATCTCTAGCCCTTCCAACACCAGAGTCCCAGGGGAATGTTGATGAACAGCATCAAGACAGAGCCTGTCCTTCACTAATGGTCTAGGACAGTCCAAGTAAGGCAGGCAAGGATACTACAGTGGCCCCTCAGTTTCTAAAGACAATAGAGACACCTGTTCAAGTGATCCCAAGGGAGAAAAGGGAGGCTTTGGGTTCTTACACAGTGCGTGGATTTGTGGTAGTTCTATGGCACGACAGAGGGGCAATTTCCTTTTTTTTTTTTCAATTTCCTTTTGTTTTAGGGGAATTACCACCATGGCTTTAAAACATTTTGTTTTGTTTTGGGTTTCTGTTTGTTAGTTTGCCTTTTGAACCCAGGCTGACCTTCAACTCTTGGTGATCTTGTGTCTCAGCCTCCCAAGTACTAACTAGAATTACAGGCTTGCACCACCACACCCAGTTTAAACTAATAGCTTTTTTTTTGGTACCGGGGATCGGGGATCAAACTCGGGTCCTTGCACTTTCGAGGCAGGCAGCAGAACCACTGAGCTAAATCCCCAGCCCAAAATTACACTCAACTCTTTTTTTTTTTTTCTGTACCAGGGATCAAACTTGGGACCTTGCACTTGGGAGGCAGGCAGTGGAACCACTGAGCCAAATCCCCAGCCCGAAACTAATAAATTTTGAAATGGAAAATCTGTTGTTGCCCGAAGTAGCTTAGGTTACTCCTGAAAGTCTGGGAAGTCAAAACCATGGCCTAGGGGTGTGGAATGCAGCTCAGCAGCACAGTACCTGCCTGGCAAGTAAGTACAAGGCCCTGAGCTCCCCAATACAAAACAAACAAAACAAAAAAAATGATGGCCTAAAAGACCAGAGAGCAATCACAAGGGATAGCCCGCAGGACAATTTTTTCCTTTCCTCCCTCCCTTTTCTCACTCCCTACTTCTTATGTCTATTTGCTTAGAAAAACAGCACGCTGGGGCAGCGATTTAGCTCAGTGGTTCCACCGCCTGCCCTGCAAGCGTTAAGGACCTAGGTCCGATCCCCAGTACCACCAAAAAATTAAAACAAACAAACAAACAAAACGGGCCGGGGATTTAGCTCAGTGGTTCCACTGCCTGCCTTGAAAGCGCAAGGTCCCGAGTTCGAACTCCAGTACCAAAAAAAAAAAAGAAAAAAGAAAAACAGCACGCCACTGAAGTTTGCTTTTTATTAGTAGTGAATTCACTTGATTACTAGTTGAAATTCATCCAAAGCAATCAATACCAGATTTTATGAAAGACACTAAAGAAGGCAATACCATCTCTTCCTTAAAGGCGCTTAAAATGCAGCTAGAGGAGTAAGGGACATCTACAAGGAACAAGAATGACAGCCATAAGGGCTGGGGATTTAGCTTAGCAGCACCGCACCTGCCTTACAAGTGCAAGGCCCTGAGTTCAAGCCCTGGTACCCCCTCCCCCCAAAAAAGAATGGCAGCCATGTGGCATCCATTAATTGGAACTGAACAAGTAAGCATATAAAATAACATACCAGGCCAGCACACTCCTTCAAAGTCACCTCCTTCACAAGTTCTCACAAAGAAGCCCTGCTCTTTGGCCTTAGTGTACACTGAATAGTCAGGATCTACCTTGATGTGGGGGTCACTGATGACCACAAGCTGCCAGGACATAAAAGGTTGAAGATCTCATCAGTTTTACATGACACATTCATTTATAAATTTTCACCATAGTTTTGGGGTTCAAATTTCTTTTCAGTCACAACTACCACTCATATTAAAATATTTCAGATATCAGTAAAACTCTATCACCCTTCACATGATCATGGAAATTTAAATTGATATCAAAACCAGACCAATATTCTTTTGTAATTATTGCTGCCTAACCAATACATATTCTTTTTTTTTTTTCTTTTTGGTACCAGGGATTGAACTTGGGACCTTGCGCTTGTAAGGCAGGAGCTGGAACCACTGAGCTAAATCCCTGGCCCACCAATACATATTCTTAAGAAGGCATTTATTAAGCTGTCTGTCTGTGATGCTGGGTGCTGGATGCTATACTCAAAGGACTAAGAGGCAGAGTCCCAGTTCCCTAGACACTTAGAGGCTAAGACAACAGTGATAAAAGCAAAAAAAAATTTTTTTTTTTTGGTATGGGGATCGAACTTGGGTCCTTGCGCTTGCGAGGCAGGCGGCATAATCACTGAGTTAAATTCCCGGCCAAAAAAATTGTTTTTTGAGACAAGGTCTCGCTATGCAGTTCAGGCTGGCCTTGTATGCACTATGTAGTACAGGCTGGCTTCAAACTCGAAGCAATCCTCCTCCATCAGCCTCCTGAGGGCTGGGATTACAGGTGTGTGCCACCATGCCTGGCTATAAAAGCAAGTATTAAAGAAAGCAAAAGAAAAACATTTTTAAAATGTACAACCCCAAGCCCAAAGATACAGGCATACTGAGGACGGAGACCTGAGAAAAGCAGGAGTCACAGCTCCAAGTCTCTAACATCTCTCCTTGTCTTTCTAATACAGCATATCCACCTTGCTGAGGTCTTCAATACCTCTTTATTTGGTTAAAACAATCTTTTAAACGTCTCCACTCTAATCCGTCCTACATACTAAAGTTTAATTTTCCATCATTCAAAAGCTTCAAGATGTCTAATTATGGTAAAATATACATAACACAACTGTACCATTGGAACCACTGAAGTGTATCGTTCAGCAGTGTTAAGTACATTTACAGTCTCTAGGACTCTTTTCACCTTGGAAGACTGCAACTCCATACCAGTTAAACAACAAATTTTATTCCCTCCTGGCAACTACTTTACTTTCTGCCTCTATAAATTTTACTAACTCTAGTTACTTCAAACTAATGAAATCACACAGTATTTGTCTTTTTGTGACTGACTTACTTCAGTTAGTTTGTGTCCTCAAGGTTCACCCACGTTGTAATGTATTAGAATTTCTTCCTTTTTAAGGCTGAGTAACATTCCATTGCATGTGTGATCCACATTTTAAAACATTTTAATTTTTTTATCAACTCACATATCTAGAGACACTTCAGTTGCTTTTATCCTTTGGCAATCATGACTAATGTTGCTCTAACCAAATATTTGTTTGAGTTCCTCTTCTTTAAAAAAATTCTCTCCCTTTTCCCCATACTGGGGATGGAACCCAGAGCTTTTGCTGTGATCTACATCTCAGGCCTTTTTAATTTTGAGACAGGTTCTCATTAAATTGCTAAATTGTCCATGCTGGCTTGAACTCTTGATCCTCCTGCCTCAGCCTCCCAGAGTGCTGGGATTACAGGTGTGTGTCACCACACCCAGATGAGTTCCTGCTTTCAATTCCTTTGGGTAATGAAGTGGAATTGCTAGATCAGATGGTAATCCTATTTTTAATTTTTTAAAGAAATGCCATATTTTTATAGCAGGTGCACTATTTTATCTATATTCCCATTAATATAGAATAAAGGTTCCAACTTCTCTATATATTCAGCAACATCTGCTATTTTCTGCTTTTTTAAAAAAAATTGAAGACCTCCTACTAGTGTTTAGTGGTATTTAATTATAGTTTTGATCTGCATTTCCCTAATAATTAGTTATGTTGAGCATCTTTTCATCACATGCTTGTTGGCTGTTTCTATTCATATATTTTGCTTTTTTTTGTTTTTGTACTGGGGCTTGAACCCAGGGGCTCTGTGTCACTGAGCCCACTCCTTTTTTACAATTTTTTTTATTTTGAGACAGGGTCACTTTAGGTTGCCCAGGCTGGCCTCAAACTTTAGATCCTGCCTCAGCCTCCTGGGTAGGTGGGATTACAGGTGTGTACCACCAAGCCCCACTTTCTCAAGCCACTTGCAAACCAGCTGGAAGGTGGCCCTGCCCCCTCAGCAAGTCTCACTATGTATGTGTGGAATAGTTCTTCACACACTGCTGGTGCATGTGTACTATCATCAGTTTTGACACAGGAGCAAATTTTGAGTGTGTGCATGGCACCTCATCACGCTGCTACAGGGCCACAGTAGCAAAGGGGACCAGACCTGCACGGCCCCTTCATCATTCTGGGGCCTCAGACAACCGAGGGAGAGCTGGAGGGCAGCATCGCCTTTTCACCATTCATCTCTGTCATCACGGAAATGACAAGATCACAGAAGTTAGGGTTAAATTTGAAGGTACTATTTTCATGGCCTCTTTATTTATTTATTTTTATTTATTTTTCTCAGATGGTCTTCCTCTGCTAATGTGTCAAGAAAAATTTTAAAAACCTTAAAAAGCTTTGCAATTTAAAAGTTCCAAAATGGTGGCTTATTTTACCTTACGTTTTTTGCTCCTAAGCAGCTCTTGCATTCTTTTGGGGTTTGGGAATCTTTTTTTATCCCAGGTGAAGTATCTCTTGCCCTCGGTGTGCTCTATGTCTAGCCACATGACGTCATAAGGAATGTCATGGTCATCAAATCCGGCATCCACTGCCCTGACATCCTGCTCATCCTCGTAGTTCCATCGGCACTGGTGGTACCCCAAGGAGAAGAGAGGAGGCATGACTTGAGTGCCTACAAGAGAAAGATGACGGCCGAGTCAGCGACCATCATAGTGATCATTCTTCCTTGGTAAATATTTCCTCAATGCTGCAGGGTATTGGCACTGAAAGCAGTCTCTACTACCTTCCGGGAGTTACAATTTGGGTGATGAGGCAGGCATGCACTCGGGAGGCTGAGGCAGATCAACTGCCATGAGCTTGAGGCCAGCCTGGGCTAAGAAGTGAGTTTGAGGCCAGTCTGAATTACATAGCAAGACCCTGTCTCAAAAAACCCTAAAAACCAAAAACACTTTTCCCTAAGGTATAATTGCTATGTTAAAGGTATTGACCTAATGTAGGAACACAAAGAGGTTAATAAATTTTGCCTGTGGTGAAGTGGGGGTCATGAGAGGCTTCATGGAGTAGGTGACCCTGGTTTGGATCTTGAGGAATAAGGAGAAATATCCCAGAGATGGAGAACAAATAGAGTATTCCAGGCACAAGGAACAACTGCAGGGAAGATCATGACAGGCTTAGGGAAAAATAGATACCTCAGGGTAAGAGAGGCCAAGAGAAGATGAAACCAGAGGTCAATTTGTAAAGGGTCCTGTAGTTTAGGAATTCTACATCTTCTTCTACAGGAAGCCAACAGAAATTTGGCCAGGTGTAACCCTGGAAAATTTGTTTTATACAATTAAGTCGGCGGCTGGACATGTAGCTGAGTGGTAGAGCATTTGCCTACCACTAGCATGGATGAGGCCCTGAGTTTGTTCCAAAATACACCTTAAGAAATTAAGGCAGGAAAGTGTTAAGGCTGACTGAAAGGGAAAGGGACTGAAGTTAGGAGGACTACCGGGAAATTACTGTGAGAATGTCATAAAGGACTTCGGGTAGACCATTTGTATTTACCTTCTCCTGAAGCCTCACTAAAATCAGAGTAAATAAAAAAGGAATAAAGGGCCGGGGATTTAGCTCAGTGGTTCCGCCACATGCCTTGCAAGTGCAAGGACCCGAGTTCGATCTCTGGTACCAAAAAAAATAAATAAATAAATAGAAAAGGAATAAAGCTACAAAAACAAAGAGAACAGAAGAGGAGTCATTTCAACAAAAATGTGGAAGGTGATGGGCAGAGGTGGGATAGTAACTGCTGAGCACAGCCGGGGCAGCTCCCCCAGGGTGCTTGTGAGGGGAATGCGGATGAGAAAAGCTCATCCCTGCTCCTAGATCCCCTGAAGGCAGGAGAGCGCCCCTACTCGCCCCTCATCAACAGCATGTAAGACATGCAGGCACACAGAGCGTCCAGGCAGAATCACACTTGAGGAAAGCCTTTAAAATTAGAGACAGGAACTCAATAAAGAAATACAATAAAAAGATCTCTCAGAAAAGAAGGACAATGCAAGAAACCAATCAAAACCTTATCCTTCATGTCTCTAGAAGTGAAAAAGAATATTGTATCCATAAAACAAGACCAGGATATCATAAAACAAGCATAAGCTTTTAGAAACAAGGAATAATCAGAGGATAAGAAAGTGCTCCTAGACATTAGAAATATGACAGCATAAGTGGAAATCCTGGAAGATAAAATTGAGAACATTGCTTGGCAAAAAGGCAAAAAAGTGAAAGAAGGTTATAAAATCAGGAGAGGAGAAAGAGAAAAAGGAGGAAAGAAATTATGAAAGGCATAATATACAACTGTTTCCCATAACTGAACAACACAAATCTCAAGACTCAAAGGGTCCAGCAAAATAATTATTTTATTTTATTAAAAAAATTTTTTTCTGGTACCAGGGATCGAACTCCGGTCCTTGCGCTTGCACAGCAGGTGGCGAAACCACTGAGCTAAATCCCCGGCCCAAAATAATTATTTTAAAAGATCTGCATTGAGGAATTTCATTATAAAATCTCAGAATTTTTTTCTTTTTTTGGTACCGGGGATCAAACTCCGGTCCTTGTGCTTGAAATCTCAGAATATTAAAGAGAAGGTATTTCAGAGAGAAAAGATAGGTCATATGCAAAGCAACAGAACTAAGAATGGTTTGGGAGGAAGAAGCCAGAAGACAATAGAGAAACTGTCAAATTCTGCCCAAAGAATTTTCAATCTAGCCAGCCAAATTATCAACCAAGGGAGAAGACAGGAAAAGGGATGGCTTTATATCTGAAAGGAGGCAAAAGTATGCATTTCCATTTACTAATGACTTCTTTCAGGAATGTTCTGTAATTTTCAGTGTTCAAGTCTTTCACTTCTGCTATTGTTTGGGTCTGGAGTGTTTCCCAAGTGGCCATGGACATGGCCCTCAGATGAGCATGATGGGAGGTGATGGCAACTTTAAAAGGTGGGGCCTAGAGGTCTTCAGGTCTTTGTGACCTGCCCTCCAAGGGGACTGTGGGACCCCAGTCTCCTCTCTCTTTTGCTTCCTGGCTTTGAGGTGAGCATTTTGCTCTGCTATGCATTCCAATAATGACATACTGATTTGATATGGGACCAAAGCAATGGGCCAATCAATAATGGATTGAGACCTCCAAAGCTGCGAGCCAAAATAAACCTCTCTTTATAAGCTGGTTGCCTTAGGGGTTTGTTACAGTGATGTAAAGTTGACTAATACAACTTCTTTGGTTAAGTTTATTACTAGATATTAGAACTGTTTTCTTAATTTCTTTTTTAGGATTATGTCATTGCTAGTGTATAGAAACAGAATTGATTTTTGTGTTTTGATCTTTTTTTTGGGTACCAGGGATCGAACTCAATCCCAGCACCACCCCCTTTTTTTGTGGTACTGGGGATCGAACTCAGGACCTTGCACTTCCAAGGCAGGCGCGGTGCCACTGAGCTAAATCCCAGCCCCCTTTTTTTGTTTATTGAGACAGCATCTTACTATGTAGTTCAGGTTGACACTGAACTTTCTATGCAGCCCAGGATAGCTTCAAACTTGCAGCTTTCCTCTTGCCTCAGCCTCCCATGTCCTGGGATTACAGGCATAGACCACCATGCTTGGCTTGTATTTTGATCTTATATCCTGAAACTTTGCTGAATTTACAGCTCTAGTAGTTTTGTTTTTTCTTTTGGTGGATTCTTTGAGGGTTTCCATATATTAGATAATATATCTTAGTCACTTTCCTCAATGCTGGGACAAAATACCTGACACCCACAAGTTAAAGGAGAGGTTTATTTTGGTTCATGTTTTAGAAATTTCAATCCTTGCAGGGTTGACAGAACAGTGGAAGGGCCTGGGCAGAGGAAAACTGCTCACCTCATGGTGGATAGGAAGCAGAGCACAAAAGGAAGAGCCAGGGAGGGAGATTTACCCTCCTCCCAGGCCACACCCGCACTGACCTACCTCTTCTGACCAGGCTCCAGGTCCTAACAGCACATTTAGCTATAAACTCATCAATGGACTGATCTACCAATGAATACAGCATCTCCGTGACCTAATCACCTCCCAAAAGCCCTGTCAATGATCACATGAGGCTCTGGGGTACTTTTGAGGCAAGTGCCCTACCACAGAGCTCTATCCCTACCAGACTTGCACTCTTTCAAAGGTAAAGTGTTTTATTTCTAAAACCAGTAGTTTATTGTATTTTATTTTTTAAAGGAGTAGTATATTTTAACACAGAAGAAAATATACAAAAGTTCAGGTTAGCTATTGGTCGTCTGAGTTAGAGGTAGATTAATACCCAGAGACTAGAGGGAAGGCAAATGTCAAGTACTAGGGGTTAGGGAGTAGACAGTTCTAGATGTAGTGTAATGTTTAACCGGGCTGAAAGGGATGAGGGGAGGAGGAGGAATGCTGGTTAATTAAAATGCTGAGGTAAATTGTTTATAAATTCTATATAGTGTGAAACAAAAATTAACTTACAATGATAATACATGGGAGAGGAAATAGAATGGAATGGAAAATGTCACTTCTGTAGGCAAATACCTGTCAGGCATGAGTACTGCTTGAAGATGTCAGAAGGTGTTGGTCCTGTCAGCAGAAAAACATCAATGATTCCACTCTCGGATATCCAGTGCACATCGGTTCGAGATCTGACTTTTTGTTTAGCAGCAGCTGGGCCCACTTGGGTCAGTGTGTACTGGAAAAGGAGTGGAATGAAAACCCGAGAAATTTCTCTCTAACCTACAACACCCGATTATATGTCAGTCTGTTCTTTTAGTACTAGTGACATTCACTGATTACACTGCAATACTTTTGGTGGCAGAGAATTGCCACCACACAAAAAAAGAGCTCTGACTACCATCTAGTAGCTGTGTTTCTTCTGTAAGTATGACATGCAGCCATGATCCACAGCTCACCTCTGCTGCAGGCTCTGTATTGATCTCCACCAGTGTTTCTGAGGCATTCAGCCAGAAAATGCCTATAGTCCTGTCCAGTTTGTGGGCTAGGAGATAAGGCACTGAACCATAAATGCCCATTTTGTCATGTATTTGATATCCATAGACATCCAGGTTATAAAGACGGTAAGCATCTCCATCCCTAAAACGACAATAAGGATTATCATGTTATCATCACAGATGTATCATTTATGGATAGAACACTTACCACTTCCCTAAGGGTTTCCTGAACCAACCTGGGTGAATATGACTCTCCTCCTTTGGTTCTTTTGGCACTCCTGTATCTTAGCTATCTTTTCTAAACCTCTCTTTTGAGGGGAGGTCTCCCATGACACCTCTACAATAGCAAGCACACACTAAGCATTCTCTGATACATTTTGTGAGTACTTCTCTGTAGCTAGAACAAAAGGAGTGTCTTAACATCTTTCCCCACAGCAGAGTCAGGAAAGATCAGAACTGAATTAGGGTGGGGGTGGAGTACAGAACCAGGTTGATATGAGAGCAGCACAGGTTCTGATGGACTTGCCTGTCAGGTAAGCAGTTCTGGAACCTGACACCCTTTGTCAGACTCTGTTTCTTTCTCTCTCTCTCTCTCTCTCTCTCTCTCTCTCTCTCTCTCCCCCCTCTTAGTCTGATGCCTCTCACATCTGTTACTAGTATAAGTCTGAAATGATCTCCCCAAGGGAATAACATGAGATGCCATACTTTTCAGCTCTCTGGATCACTGTTCTATTTAGGTCAGTGATCTTTCACAGTACATTTTCCCAAGGTTCCACAAAAAGGCCTTTCAAGATAAGCCCAAGACCTAGAGAGAAAGATCTCGTGCTTCAATCAGAGCAGCTTCCTATTTTTGGTTCCTCTGTACTATTAAGTTCAGTATTATAGTTTTTATAATTGTGTTTTTTACCAAAAAAAAACCAAGCCCTGAAAACTTCTGCTTTGGGTGACCATTCAAGGAAGGTTCTTAAAACTCTACAAACAGTATCAAACTAGTCTTCTGTAAGAATTTTTGTTTTCACTTACCTAGTATTTTTAAGCTGGTGTGATTCTGCATGCTGTGGGATCCCATAGACATGTTCAAATCCATGCAAGGAGAAATCTAAACCAATGGAGGCAGGACCTGTGAAAACCAGAATTCTGATTTAAGTTTTGCTTCTCAAGAGGACCATCAATTAAGGAGATTCTGTTGGTTGAGCAGAGCAAAATGACTAGACCAAGGGTAGGGAGACCTGAACCTGGCTTCATCAATCAGCAAATGCTCTGCCCTGACTCTGTAAGACACTGTATTCAAGCACTGTTGGAACATCAGGCAAAGCTCTCTGGTCACTTTTATTCATGTCGCCTTAGGGCTGGGGATTTAGCTCAGTGGTTTTGCCGCCTGCTGCGCAAGCGCAAGGACCCGAGTTCAATCCCCAGTTCAAAAAAAAAAAAAAAAAAATCTAGTGCTGAGATAGCCATTAATTCTATATTCATGTCGCCTTAACTGTGTGCTAAAAAAAAAAAACAAATCTAGTGCTGAGATAGCCATTAATTCTATATTTATGTTGCCTTAACTGTGTGCTAAAGCTGTGTCCTCATTTATAATAAATGCATCTCTTTGCTATTTGTAAAATACATTTACAACGTTTTAGGTTCTTTTCCTCATTGAAATTTTTGTAAAGTACATCATATACTTCTTTGCTCTAGGGAGCAAAGACTATTGAGCACTTTTATGTGAATGAATGTCTTCTACATGGTAACTAAGCCTTACTGCCAGCATTGTCTTATGGTTGCCTACAGGGACTATCATGTCATGTCACTTTTCTAGCTCCTCAAAATACTATTTCCCCATAATTGTAGGTATATAAATTTCCTCTAAAAAAACACAAGGTCCTTTATTTCACAATTCTTTTAGAGATACGGGAAAAGTCCAAATAACCAGACACATAACATTGACTTAAATTTACACTCACATTGAAGTATCTGACACCAAATGGTCCTTATTTATAGGAGTTCGTGGAAAGAAAAGGTACAAAATATTATATTACAGAAAGAAAAGCCTAAAAGCCACTCCCTTTTTAAAAAACTTCAACATTCTTTCAACCTTGCTTATTATACTATGCCAATGGTGGTGAACATATGGCACCCATGCCACAGTGGGCTGTTTGTATCATTGAAAGCTCTAAAAGGTTTGCCATCACTGTGCTATGCTGTAAATATAAATGGCTAGAACAAAGATTCTCAAGGAGTCAAGGAACATGTTATTCTATACGGTAGGCAGGAAGAGGAAAATGAGTATTTTTCTAACCTCATAGCCCCACGTACCAAAGAAGGACGTCCTAAAGAGACAAACTCTATCCCCACTTCCTTAACCCCATCACTAAGCTTGGTGAGTGTGACCATAAATGGTGATAGATGAACTTCAATGGATTAAGAAATACCTAGCTGAAGGGCCGGGGATTTAGCTCAGTGGTTCTGCCACCTGCCTCGCAAGCACAAGGACCCGAGTTCAATCCCCGGTACCAAAAAAATAAAAGTAAATAAAGAAATACCTAGCTGATTAGTACAGCATGCTCTTGGGTGTGTGATGGAAGAGTGATCACACGTACTATACCTAGGCCCTCGCTGGTTCCTCTCAGGTGTTGCTCTCCTGCTCTGCTCCCTAGCCACCATGAAACAAGCAGCTGTTCTTCTCCATGCCTTCCACTATGATATGCCCTCTTCGGAGCCAGCTGACCATGGACCGAATTTGCCCAAACTGTGAGCTAAATCAAACCTTTCCTCCTTTAAGTTGTGAGCATCAGGTATTGTGTCCAGCAATGGGAAAGATGACTAATACAATGAGAAATGTCACAGATGGGTACGCGACACCCATGGGAATGATGGCAAGGCATGAAAAAGGCTGAGACTGCTGAATTAGAATACCGGAGCTGATGAACTCAAGAACTTATTTTACCATAACTTAAAAGTAAAAATACAATGTGAACAGCCAGGCATGGTGGCACATGCCTATACGCCCAGCACTCTGGGAGACTGAAGCAAGAGGACTAGAATTCAAGGCTACCCTGGGCAACTTTGTGACACAGTGAGAGCCTATCTCAACATAAAAAATAAAAAAGGGCCGGGGATTCTCAGTGGTTCCGTTGCTTGCCCTGCAAGTGCAAGGACTCGACTTCGATCCCCCATACCAAAAAAAAAGTTAATTAAAAGAAATAAAAATAAAAAAGGTCTGGGGACATGGAGATACAGATCAATGTGAAGGTCCTAGGTTCAATCCCCAGTCCCTAACACACACACACACACACACACACACACACACACACACACAAATGTGGAGTTTGTAGCTATCTGATCTATGGAATAATGCAACCAGTGTGTTGTTCCAGGCCTGTTCCTGAGACCATGAGCTCCAGGTGGTCTATACTTTTCTTATACTTGCCACCAAGGGCATAGAATCACATCTCTATGGGAATGTATTATGGAAGGATAAGGAACCCAAATCTGAGATTTCTGTTCACCTTACAGAAGTTACTTGTTTTAGGTGCCAAAGTTCAAGAGACTTTGAGATATTTAGCCATTTTCCATTTTGGAATGATCTGTTTTAATACATCTCCAATTTTAATTTACCATTAGCTTTGACATCAAGAAAATTTCCAAATTTCTCTTCCCACAGGCCTAGATCCTCTTGATCTTCCTGTTGGTACAAAAAGGGGCAAAAACTGAGTTTATAAAGTACAACAAATAGAGATACCAAAATAGCATGCTTGGCTTATTAAAAAATTAGACTGAGGGCTGGGGATTTAGCTCAGTGGTTCCACTGCCTGCCTCGCAAGCGCAAGGTCCTGAGTTGGATTCCCAGTACCAAAAAAAAAAAAAAAAAGACTGAGAAAATGAGTTCACTTTAGAACCCTAACTTATGATGCCAGTACATTTCACAAATAAAATCTGTGCTTAATATAAATATCAATTAACACCCTTATAAACTATAGCTGCCATACATTTTCTGTAGTAAAATATATACAACATATAATTTACCATTTTGACCATTTTACTCTGTTGTGTGATGGTATTATCACCAATCTATCTCCAGAACTTCTTCAGCTTCCCAAATGGATCCTCCCTAACCATGAAACAATAATTCCCCATTTCTCCCTATACCACTCCTGGCAACAGCATTCTACTATCTGTATGAATTGACTACTCTAGGTACTTCAGAAAGTAGAGTCACACAGTATTTGTTCTTTTATGATTGGCTTGTATCACTTAGGATAATGTCTTCAAGCTTCATTCATTTTGTAACATGTATCAGAAATTCTTTCCTCTTTAAGGCTTTTAATATCTTTTAATATCCATTGCACGTATATAATTTTGTTTATGCCCTCACCCATCAAGACACTTGAGTGGCTTCCTCCTATTGGCTACTGTGAATAGTGCTGCTATGCCTTCACTTTGGGGTACATACCTAGAAATGCAACTGCTGGATCAGACTTTCATTTTTTTTTTTTTGAGACAGGGTCTCTCTCTATAATTCAGGCTGGCCTCAAACTCACAGCAATCTTCCTGCATCAGCCTCCTGAGTGCTGGATTATAGGTGTTTGTCAGCATGCCCAGCTAGATTTTAATTATGTTTAATTTTCTGAGGAACTACTATATCATTTGACATGAATATCTTTGCACACACTAAAATGCTATGAAAGTACTTTGAAAAATATAGTCTTTGCATATGTAAGAATTACACATTTTTTATTATAAATTTGTGATGTAAAACACTGAGAATCAAATAACTTCAGTCAATTTTTGTTGTTGTTGTTGTCTTTTTGGTACCCCAGATCAAACTCGGGTCCTTGCGCTGTGCAGTAGGCAGTGAAACCACTGAGCTAAATCCCTGACCCTGTTATTGTTGTTTTTTGAGGCAGCGTCTCCCTTTGTAATTCAGGCTGGCCCTGAACACACTACGTAGCCCAGGCTAGCCTCAAACTCACAGCAATCCTCTTGCCTCAGTCTCCAAAGTGCTGGAATTACAGGCATGTGCCACCACACCTAGTGATTTCAGTCTATTTTTGAGAGAATTTAAACAGAGTTGTTTTTTTTTTTTTTCCTGAGATAGGCACTCTCTTTTTCCTACTTAAATTAGCTGCCTAGACTGCAGGCTATACGTTTGTGTTGTTTTGAGAAGTCAAGTTAGCTGGGCTGGCAATAACTGCTCAGAACTATACCCTTTCAATCTAGAGCTTTATACTTTTTCAGCTTTATGTCTTTTCCCTAGTAAAATGAAAGTTCAAAAAACTTGTATGTATGAAATGTATATTTCTTTCAAATGAGCTCATTTCAAGATTTTATTTTCATAATTAAAGCTTCTGTAAAGTGAACCCGTGCATTTAAAAAAAATCACACCAGGGCTTGGGATATAGCTCAGTAGCACAGAACCTGCCTGGTAAGTGTGAGGTCCTGAGTTTGAGCCCTAGTCCGAAAAAAAAAATTAATTCATGCCAAAATCCTTAAGGTAACGTTTATTATCTTGGGTTCATGGATGTGGACTTTAGAGTCTGTGAATTCCCTCAAAAATATGAAATTAAAATTTTTTCTTCAGAGATGATTCATAGCTTTCATCAAATTCTTGCAAAGGGTTTGTGGCTCAAAAATCACTGTAATTCCAGCATGTAGCTGAGACAGGAGGATCTTAAGTTCTACTCCTGGCTACACAACTCTGTGAGACCTTGTGTCAAAATAAAAAAACAAAAAGGGCTGGGGATGTAGCCAGAGTGAAGGCACTGGGTTCAATTCCCAATACCATAAAATGCTAGCAACAACAACAATAACAATAATTCATAAGCTGTCTAGTTAGGCATCGCCTCAAAAGCTCATTTGACATTCTGTCGCATCTCTGTGCAAAGCTACGCACTTATCTTTTTTATTTGGAAATGGAAAAAAATTCTCTTATGCTCATCACTGTGGATCAATTCTTAATAAATAGAAGCATTTAGGGCTGGGAATGTAGCTCAGTGGTACAGTGCTTGCCTTCATGCATAAAGTCCTTATTGTACTATTATTTTGCCATTCAAGGCAGCCATAGCTATTGTCATGCTTCTCTTAAGATTTGTGTGACTATGAATGAAGATAAGACTTCTAGATTATTCATTCTTCATAATTCAGCCAAAAATCTTTTGAATAAAGAAATAAAGCTATGCTTTTGCTGCTTAGAACTTTTCCACGGTTTTCATTTGTTCTTAGGATAAATTCAAGCAGATTAACATGGCTTATAAGGTAAGCTTCATGACAAAAGTCAGATTTGTTCAATGATGAACCACCAATGTCTTGAACAGTGCCTGTCACATAGGGGGTACTCAATAAACATCTGTTGAATAAGTTACTGTGACTCTCCACAGAGCAGCCCCTGCCCATCTCTCTAGCCTTATTACTCACCACCCTTCCCTTTGCTTTCCTTTCTTCCTCCCTATATACAGTTTCTCATCCCTTCACGAACAATTTCTTCCTTTTTTTTTTTTTTTGTACCAGGGATCTAACTTGAGACCTTGTGCTTGCGAGGCAGGGTGCGGAACCACTGAGCTAAATCCCCAGCCCTACAAACAATTTCTTATTCGCTAATGCATCAGTTTCAATTTTAATATTACTTCCTTCAGGAGGTTTTTCTAGACCCTCACCTTAGGTCAGGCCCCTTATTGTATTCTCCTACAGCTCCTTTCTGTAAAACTCCTCTTGTTCCTAAGTACTTAGTCAATGTCTGCTTTCACCAAGAGATTGGACAAGTTCCAAGAGGACTTATTTGCTGTTTGTTTCATTCAAGGTTGATTATCTTTGCCTAATGTAATGCCTAGCAAAAAGCAGGCACTCAGGATGTATCTGCTTTTATGAATAAATGAATGAATGAATCAGTATGATAAGGTGAGCAAAAGAGACGGGATTCCATTTATATGTAGTAACGCATTTTACATTCTGTGGGAGGAACAGAATTCACTACACACTGCATATTTATTATAGTGATGAAGAAGATAACAACTTGCTCAATCTAGGTTACCTGAGAGGTGTCAATTGATGTACTCTTCTCATTTTCTTTGGTAGTTCTGTTTTAACATAAATAAAGTTGTTTCACTCAAAGGAAAGAATGACAGAATTTTGTTTAATGACAAAGATCTTAATTTCCATCTTTTAGGATCTCATAAATTATATCCTTTAACTTATAACATCATTATAAAAGTAAATGAGTTTATAAAACCAAACATTCATGATGAACATTAAACCAATAGCTTGATTTCTTACACAATGGTAGATGTATGTGAATTTTCTTAACCCTTTAAAATACATTTATCAACTTTTTTATTAAAAATGTAACACATGTTCATAAAATTTCAATAAAATAAAAATTAACAAGGTAGTATATAGCACCCTTGCCTCACTGTCAGGCTAATAATATTACATAACATAATGCAGTCTTCCAGAATGATTGCGACAGTTTATTCTACTACCCACAACTGCACTTGAGAGCTTGTCTCCTCATGACACTGGATTTATCAATCTTTTGAGTCCTTATCATTCTAAAAGTTTAGAAAGGATAATGAATTTCATTTGTACTTCTGTAACCAGTAATGATGTAGACTACCTTTTTTTTTGGTACCAGGGATCGAACTCTGGACCCTGGCGCTTGCAAGGCAGGTGCCAGAACCACTGAGCTAAATCCCCAGCATAGGCTACCTTTTCATACATTTAATAGTACTTCTATTCCTCTGTAAATTGTTTATTCATACTCACTATGATTGTCTTCAGTGTAAAGCACAGTATGTAAATAAAAGATACATTGTATTCAAAGAGTTTAAAGAATAAAACGAAATAAACAACTTTGACACACCATTAAGCTTAAGCAACCAGAATAACTTGCTCCTCTGGGGTGTCTGTGAACCTCTCTTCAAATGCATCTGCCTCCACTCTGTCCTTCGGAGGTAACCACTTTATAAAGTTTAGTGTTAATAATTCCCTTGATGTTTTATTTCCACGTATACATGAATCTTCTTTGGTTTTACCTTTAAATTTTTATGTAAATAAAAGTATACTGTACATATTCTTTTGTGACATGCTTTTTTCACTCATTTAATATTTTGACATTTGTTATGTTAATATGAATTGCTGCAGTTTGTATCACATCATTTAAAAATTTGCTTATGTTTTTGCATATCGATTCAGACGAGCTCTTTCTACATTGTCCACATTCATTTTTAATTCTTAAACATTTCCCTGGTATACTGCCTTTAAAGTTTTCAAAAAATTAATAGACTTTATCTATTAATAGAACAGTTTTAGGTGCACAGCAGAAATAAGCAGAGAGTAGAGTTCCCATCTACCCTACCACTGCCATCCTATACCACACTGGTACATTTGATACATTTGGTCAGCTCAAATCGACACATCATCAGCCAAAATCCAGTGCTTATATTAGGGTTCACCCTTGGTGTTCTGTGGGCTTGGATGTATAATGATAGTAATTCACCACTGAAGCATCATATAGGGCAGTTCTGCTACTCTGAAAGGCCTCTGTGTCTGGCTGATTCACCCTTCTCTCCCTACAACCCCTGGCTACCACTCATCTTTTTACTGTCTCTGCAGCTTTGTCTTTTTTTTTCCCCATTAACTTTATTGGTACATTTTAGGTATAAAATACAGTTACATTCATCATTGGGATCCTGTACCATTACATGAGTCTCTTGGTTCTTATTTTTTTTCCCCTTCCCCTGCCCACCCTTCCCCGTTTGCAAAGACCTTGTTT